TGGTAAACGACACCCCTTTCCGTAGCAGTTGCAGTGACTCTCAGAGTTTTAAATCGCAAAGATCTAAGGGGCACTGCCACTGCGCCCGTAACCCTACGACGTAAGTTGCTAAATCCCATGTGCCAGTGTCATTTCACCAGCAAACTAAAGGGGTCTACAGACCGAACCCGCCGACCCGGCGACGCAGCGGCGGCTTGGTGTCAGCAGCCTTATTTGTAATCTAATCCTATGACAATCATGTCATAGGATTAGAAACAAGGCCGCCGACACCATCTCGCCTAGGTTCGATCTGTAGACCCTTTATTTGTATAAGTTTGTCTGTTACCCAAGATCTGCAAAATCTTAGAACGTCACATGAAATTCCTAGGCTGCTAACACATTAACTGCAAACATGCAGTCATTCTATTAACAGCCTTAGTGCTGCGCCGATTATTTATAATTATGGCTAGGCGAATTCTGACGCATTTGGTAACACAGTGAGTTGATACAGCGCAGCCTAATAAGACTTAGTTCAATAGTAGATATAATAAAAGGCTTGATGAATCAAAGAAATTTAAAGACAATGTTTTATGACGCCAAATCAGAAACAAGGAATAACGATACAATTAAAAATAAAACATGTACCTACTTTTATATGATAAATAAGGCAATAAGAACACGTGGTCAAATCGATTTGTACTGATGAAGATAAAGGACTAGATAAAGTAAAGCTGTTGATAACACCAAATAATGATTTCCTATAAATAAAAGGTAAATGTAGTCTCATTTATTTTACTAAAGGCAGAGTAAACGGTGAGTACCTACACAGTTCTTACTTTTGTATTTTGTGGCTTGACTCAGGGGCTCGACTTACTGAATGAATATTATTTGTTATTGTCAAATACTCTAAAATCGATGCATTTGTTTTATAAGCGTTATTTCAATCAGTGTTCAATAATAACACTGAACAAAGAGATCACGTGAAAAAGTGTCTGTCGCCTTAGATAATACAAAAATTGCAGTGAGTGAATTCTTAGTTAAATTTGATTATTTATTAGATTACGTGAAATGTGTCTATTACTTATTAGTCTTGTATTTACCTAGATTGTAATGTATTTTTAATGTACTTACCTTACGAATAAATGAAAAATAAAATTAATTAGAACTGCGACGTACTTTGAGTCGTGTGTATGTGTCACTTCACCAAACGGCGTAAAACTCAAACGGTTTGCATGTTGAGTGTTTTATAAATTATTCACTTCATATCTTTTTATTTTATTTTATAATTATGTTCATACACAAAAATCCTTTTTTTTAAAAGACGAAACTGAGTAGAGTAAAGTAAAAGTAGGTATAGAGAGTGTTCTATAGACCACAATATCGTTTTTGCCATTTACTTCATATAATCTACCGATATATTTTTGAACGTAACAGTATATTGTGTGTCAAGGGTAGTATATAAGGAATTACGAACGAGACTCCATTAGAATTAAAAGTATCGGAGTCGAGGTTCGTAATCCCGTACCGCCCGTATAACATACAATGTTTTTCATCACATTTGCGAGTAAATAGTATGATTGTATGCAGACTAACTTGACTATAATGCCCCAAATAAAACCCTCGAGCCTTATTTCTTCTCATTACACGACCATAGCTGTAATGAAAATAAATAAAGCCCGAGGGTTTTATTTGGAGCATTATAGTCAAGTTCCTGCATACAATTATACTATTTACGTACAAGTATGATGAAAAATATTTTACTCTGTAAAATTCCTTTTAAATTCTTCTTCATATTTAATACTTCTACAAATAGCTTTCTACGTAACAAAGTATGCAAATGGTTACAAATCAACCTTTACTTTTCCAGAAAAATGAAATTGCTGTTGGTGGTCGCTTTTGTCGCTGCGGCGTCTGCCGCTGAAATCAGAGTACAGTCTTTGGTGCTTCCCGAGGCGCCAAAACCCGAAGTTTACGAGGCTCCAGAAACACAAAATGAGGAAATCTACGACGCTGTAAAATTTGTAGAAGAAGCCGCACCCGCTGACGACGATGTCCTGTACGCCGTCAATGTTGTCGATGTTCCCGAATTCCCTGATGTAGAGGCACCAATGTATGTCCAGATGATTGACATTGGCCCCTTGATCGTCCCTGATGAAGTCATCAAGCAGCTCCTTGAAAACCCAGAAATTTTTGCTGATTTCGTAGGTCCTGTTGATGCTGTTCATGTTGTTGACGCTCCTGTCGACACTCCTGTGGATGCTGTTCGAGTTGTTGACGCTCCTATTGAACAGGAACAGGGCATTTTGAACTTTTTATACGTACCTGATATTGGTTCTGCCGATAATGTCGATCCTGTCCAGATTGTAGATGGGCCAGCAGATAACGCCCCTGAGGCGCCTTTTGAAGATGTCCAGGTTGACCCTGTAATCATTGTCGATAATGTTCAGTATGAAATGCCTTTAGAATACCGAAGGGACCTACCTGTCTATAATGACCCTATGTTACGTTAATAATACCACTACAGTTGCACGTTGTGTTTTCCACTTTTCTAATAAATGATAAATGATGAATCTCAACTTTATTCATTTGTATTAAATTTTCATAATTTTACATGGTGTAAGAAAAAGGTCCGCTCGTGTATCAAATGCGTACCCGACCCGTGCGAGTGTACAATCGCGTCAGTTTAAACAACAGATTTAAAGTTTTGCAGTGAACATTACACCCAGTATAGAAATAATAATTACGAAACAAAAATATACATGCGATTCCTAATTAACATACACTACATCATGGACCTACCAAATAAATTTAGACAACTTGAGTGTTACAAACATTTGTTCGATTAATAAAAACACAAAGCTTCCAAATTGAAATTAATATAAATAAATATTATAGTAAGTTTCTTAATACGTGATTTAATGTCTCGAATGCAGTGATACTTACTTATTAATACTAAATAAAATAAATATTATAACGTATTTGTTATATTGTGGACAATCGGAAACATGTCCGACCTTTTTGTTGTCGACATTATCTGCACAAGAATGTGAAAATCTAGTAGAGGATCGAACGAACTTGAGAGCCTAATCCTAAGGTGTATGTAAGTAATAACGTAGCTGTCACGACTTATGTGGCCCAGTAATTGGCACTGTGTACGCTAGATGAGAAAGTCTCGGGTTCGATTCCTGGCAGGATAAATTATAATATGTATAATCCTGATAAAGCCCTAAGTTGAATTGCCCATCGAATTCATACTTTGACCTCACAAAAACAAGGCATGTCCATGCAGTTTACAGTTTAGTTTGAGAGTTCACAAAGACCACTAATACATAGATATTGTTGGCCCTTCACCTTTTTTAACCGACTTCAAAAAAGGAGGATGTTCTCAATTCGACTGTATGTTCTTTTTTTTATATGTATGTTACGCGATAAGCCCGGTATTTGTGAACCGATTTTCATTATTTTTTTGTTGAAAGGGGGTACTTCCATAATGGTCCCATTTCATTTTGAAGAAAATCATCCACCTTGAAGGGTGGCTCTTCACGCATGAAGATTCATTTTTATCATAGATTTAGGATTTTTTATTTTTATAAATAGCGCCTAACTTTAATTTAGGAGTAATTACGTTAATGGTTGATTTTGCTATTTCTCCAATTCAATACGTTTTTCTCTCGATATACTTTGAGTAGTGAGAACCGACTTTTATTATCTCCAGTGTCAAGTCCTGTATAGTGGCGAACTAGGGGATATTTCAATAAAACTTAGCAAATTGACGCAATTCCACGTACCTTTGAGGTCGGTTTTTTTAGTACTCTGTACTGAGATTATTTTCAAAATAAAATCCGTAAACCTAGTCTAAGGTTATTATTACAATTCCTTTAATTTTTTCCATCCTCTAGAGTAAAATCGTAACATGACGTGTCATCACTCAACTACCTTTTTTTTGAAAATAGGCACATTTAAGTCAGTTTTTACAAGATTTTAGTTTTATTTTTAAGTTTTATTACTACATTGAAATCTTAATTACCTTTACAAAGTTTATTGGATTGATGTAGATCATAAACTAACTTTTAAATATAGCCGAATTTGAAGTTTCACTTTTCAACGAGTTTATACTTAACGCTAACAATGTACACATACAACTATTTTTCCCCTTTTAAATATTATTCTGCTCTAACTCGCTCTTGGTTTTTTCCCCCTTCTTTCTTGGCTTTTCGCGGTTAGCGTTTCAGCCATTTAAGTACTGTGTTTTGACTTGTTCTAATGGGGAAACTTATCATAGACATTTGAAAAAGGGATTAAGAAGGTGAAGAGATAGTGAAAAAGGGATCAGGCGAGTATCAAAATAATATAAAAATTTAGCTGTCATGTCGTAATAAATAGTTATTTTCGATACAAGTGCGGAAAATTAGTCATTATTCACGAGTCTCGAGGCTTCTTCTTCAAGACTCGAGACAAGTGAAAATGACAAATCCACACGTTTATCAAACGAAAAAGTAAAAAGCACTAGTGCGAAAAATCCAACTTTCGGCACGATTTGTAGTACGAAAAATACCTACCACGTTTTGAGCAACTGTATTGAAAATGATTATATTCTATATCTCTACATGTGTAGTTACATCTCATGGGGTTTAGTCATTTAGTGGGTCAGAGACTATAGTCTCTCAATCAAATTTTGAAAAGTAAAACCAATGATCTTATTAAAACTCATCATCTTACCATGCAGTTCCCGTTCAACTTTTGTGTAGATCATGATATGAATTAAAACAACTTATATTATCATGGTAGGCCACTTGAGTGTTCTAGGTTAGTACCCTGGGATTAATTATATAATTCTAGTACTCATAGTACAGAAACTTCCTAAGTTTTGAGAACTGGTAATTGGTGTGGTTATCTGGCACATTTTATTAATTCAAATTTAAGAAATCGAATCTGTGGCGTTCTCATTCTGGCGGTATGGCACCACAGACAAATACACCCACTCAGCAACACAGTGAACAGTTTTTACAAAGTTTTTTAAAACAAATTCAAACAATAAATTCATATCTACGTTATTTATTAACTTAACAATCTGAACCTAAAGAACATAAAATTAACAAATTATTTAAGCACATAATTTTCTGGATATTCCATGACCTTTGGGAAGTTTTTAACATCCTCTTCAGGGATATGGTCAAGTCGAGTGGGTACAAGTCGAAGCTGGCGAATTTGGTTTGTGACATTCTGTAAAACATCTTCAGGTATTTGTTCTCCAGGGTATATGAATAATCTTTGCATAGTGTGCCGTCTTTGGAGAGTGCCTCTCATTGCTCTGTAAACGGCTTTTCTGATTATCTGGAATAACAATTATGTGTATCATTAGTTTGAAATTTAATATTGTGTCTTCTTATAATGCCCATGATACTTGAGGTACTGCACAGATAGTGTTACATTAATCACAACTCCGAGTTCTTGAGTGACCCCCCAGAATTTCAATTCACACCTACGGAAAATATTGTAAATTGAAGCTGATGTATGACATCATTCTGCTCGTAGTCTAAACGATGGGGCCCTGGAGTTCGGAAGCTCGGGGCTTATTTAAAGAGTTGAGTTGTCGACTCGGAGACACGGGCAATGTATGAACAAAAAGGTATTTTTTTTATTTACAATGTTTTCACTGATAATCAAAATGTATAAAGAGATATTATGACGATTTATGATACTTAATAATTATTATTTATGATTGCTTACAATATAAATGTGTGCAAGTTTTCTATTCTATGTGTGATCACCGCTCTGGGTCGTGGTTGGTTCAACAGGAGACAATTGCCATCCAGCAGGCAATGCTGCCGGTATAATGGAAACTTTTGAGCCGGGTACGATACAGGGTGGGATTTTTTAGGTAAGAATATTTGATGTAATCTCTTATAAGCCCCAACTTTATGTATTTTAGTACCTATTGATGAAACCTAGTGCTGATCTTGAAAATTTGACTAGTTCACATTGTTATTGTCATTGTTAACCTATGAAATAAATTAATTGAATTTTCCCAGCAGAAATTAATGCCTATAAGAAAGTGGAAGTTATTTAGATAGGTGATGTAGCACTTACGCAGTAAACAATATAATTATAAGGCCTTAAGCAGTACAATATAATAGCAGTGACACAGACCTATGAGTTTAAACGAAAATAAATCAAAATGTGGGAGTATACCAACCATAGTAGGATCCTTATTGTGCAACTCCCAAGCCAAGGTCCAGCTAGCACCACCTGGATATCCTGTATGATGGAAATATGCTCTTTGCCTCCAATCATCACCTTTCAATGCAATTTGCTTGCTATTTATGCAAACTACAACATCACCACAGTCATTCATAGGATGATATATTGGTTTGTGCATGCCCATCAAGTACTTCTTAATTATAGGTGCAGACTCATACGGGTCCTGCCATTTGCAGTCAAACACGTGCCAGGTGCGAGCAAAAGTTGCCCATTGCTGAAAATATTCCTTTTTTTTAATGAACTGCATGAAAAATGGCTGCTGCTTTACCCTAAGTTTCTCGCCAATATGTTGTCAATTGTGGTACCCACATTAGACTAAGGGTCGTATTCCAGAACTCTACTCAATGTGTGAAAATCATACTCAAGTCCTTGCCATTAGGGTAGTATTTCCAGTGCTTGAAATCATACTCAAGTCTGCTCAAATCCTGACTTGAGCATTGAGTAGGGTTCTGGAATACGACCCTTACAATCATAAAAACAGCAGTGCACACTGCTGCTTAGTGGTAGAAATGGCTAGGAGAGCCGTACCTTCGCAGGCCGGGTTCCACCTGCATAAACAAGACTTCATCATCAGTTTTATGTACATTTTAATATAAACGTTAGGTTGTTTTGTAAATGATATTTACAAAGATACAGTGTTTAACGTACCTGCACCCTTTTTGCAGCAGACATTATTGGACACTTTACAATAGCAATATAAAATTTGTACTTTAGCAAAATCGTATTTCAAAATAAACTATAATAACCTATAATATATATTTGTATTGTATTTTAGGTTAGGTTAGATGACATACTTTTTTTTAATTTATTGAGCTTTGGCGACAAGATATCAGCTTAAAACTGAATAATATAAAAATATCAAGTATATAATGGTTATATACTCGATGCATTGACTTACAATTATATGGACGTCGGGTCCGCGCTAAAAAGTGTCCGCACTTGTAAGGCGCTAAAATCGTATACAGAGCGCGACACTCCGCTTTAGTCTTCATTTGTTCTACTGACAGCGCGATACTGCGATGACATTACAATTTAAATTTCGAATAGGTTGACTTGGGACATTTTTTTCGTGGTTTTTGTATTAGACCCGTCGTCCATTTATTTGTAAGTCAATGACTCGATGTATAAAATAGACGACTATTTAACTCTTGGAGGATGGAAAAAAAATAAAAGCAAGGAGCTGCCCTAACTACAGAATCAACGTACATATAACCAAAATTTGGAAGTTACAAATGGCGGATTTCTTTAGTGTTGTACCATAATCTATCGATAAGTCATTATCGACATCGTCATTATGACTTGAATGTTGAAACTGTTTTTTTTTGTTTCTTTAGTTTACTGTAACCAAATTATGCCTAAACAAACACAAGTCTAATAATTTAATCTCGAGTGGTATATTATTATAAATGTGAACACACATTTTTGAACTAAAAAAAAAATTTTAAAATTTTTAGAAGGTTACAACTGGTAACTAATTTAGTAAAAGTCACCAAACTGCTGTGCAGTTTATTGGCGACGTTCTTACTTAATTATACCTACTTTACTGGTATATAACATTACATAGTACCTATTAATTGTACTTAAATATAAATATAAAAATTACTTTAAGAGGTACGCCTTTAACCTACATTTTAGTACATATTTACATGTCGTCTTTTAACTAATTGTCAAGTACAAGTCTATTCAGATTTCTGCGGGTTCTAGTATTCACGTTACTGGCTTTCTTAAACAAATTAATCTATCGAGCAATTTTAACTGGTAACTTATTTAGTAATAGTCACCAAACTGTTGTGCAGTTTGTTGGCGACATGCGCACTCTTACTTTTTTTTTAACGCACACACTCAACATTGCCCTACCTATACCTACTTTACTAGTATATAACATTACATAAAACAAAAACAATAAAAACCTCGTAGTGAATTGTTTTAATAACAGAATATCGATAATATATATGCTTACAAGATCAACACTATCTCAAAATAATCGTTAACAACAATCATCAAAATATACAAACAAACAGGCAACCTAAAGTAACAAAAGCAAAATTTGGCAAGATTTATAAATAAACTACTTAAATAATCTAATTACATGAAATATTTGGGCTATTGTGTGATTTATAGACCAAAAAAATAACACATGTCTGTGCAATGTAACATTAGATTGATTTGCACTTTTTCTAAAGCCACATCCCTTAATGCTGTAGCGTCGCATTTTTATTAATACCTAATTAATCTCACTGTCTATATTTCTGTCCAATTTAATTATAATACATGCGAATAATTCAATAGTACATATGAAAAAACATTTGTTTTGACATTTGATGTACTTCCCTCTTGTTACATCTCCTGTTATACCATGATTTAAGCAAATAAACGTATGATAATAATATTATTTTTGATAATATTACTACTTTCATTAATTTCCAAAATTAAATTAAAGTATTAAAGATTCACTTAAAGCAGTTACTGATATTATCTATACCAATGCATAAATACAAAAAAAACTTTTACTATTTGGAATCTGTTTAAAAATGTCTCTATGAAAATATGAATCTTGAGGTTGGAAATGTATAGAATTTATATTTCAAAGTTTTCTCTTTTTTATATATTATACTCTCAAATTACAAATATTAATTTTTTGCAAATTCACCTTTCGTAATGTTTGTGTATTTGTAAACGCAAAACTATAAATTCAAAATTTCATGTGGCATTCCTGGATCCATTTAACCTAAAATATTCCCAAATGGAATATTGATCTACTTTAATTAAATGTTTGCATGTCGATAATGATTTATCGATAGATATGGTACGACACTAAAGAAATCCACCATTTGTTCGTTCAATTTTTGTTAGGTATGCACCAGCATGCACGTTCATTCCGTAGTTAGGGCAACTCCTTTCTTTTATTTTTTTTCCATCCTCCAAGTTATTCGTACAGTCAAGAGCACGTCAAGCTTTGACACTTTTTACTTTGAACCGTTCTTATCGTAAGCGGCAGAGTTGGATTTAAATCTTAAGTGTCAAGCTTTACGTGCTTTTGACTCTGTACTAGGTACCTACTAAATACAATTTGTAATAATATATCGCACCCCTCGCACATTAGTTACAAGAATTGAAGAGCATGTTTTTGACGTATTTCCACTTAAGCCATTCTTCCATGAAGGGTGCAATATGTTCACAGGCCTCACTTGAGATAAGAACGGTTCAAAGTTCAAGTTGGATGTGCTTATCGACGTTGTCCATGGTGATTACGTCTTCATAATTTTTTGGCTTTTAAGGGCTACTAAAATAATTATAATAATGTTCTCCGGCGGCGTTGCGACATTTTGAATTGACCTTGATGAGTTTTTGACTGTAATAAGTAATATATTTACTTTTGATCCAAAAAATAATAATAACCGCAAAATCTTTTCATAACCGTCAATTTGTCTCGTCAAAACACTGAGTCTTCTAACCTAACGAAACCACAAGTCATATCCACATAAAATTGACCTAAAAAAGAACAAACGGAGTTAAGAAAGAAAAAAATATGAACACAATTTTGAAATTTTTATTTAAAATATAAATTGGATGTTAAACAATACCAAGATATGACTACAGAAAAATAATAACAAAAAATAAATGTATAAATAACGTACAAAGTACGATATCACGTGTACATATCCCTCAATAAAATGTAAGTTGCAAGTCTTTTCTGATTGTGTACGCAGATACATACATCATATATTTCTCGTTATCCAGGAAATTTTGTATTGTCTGTTTCCTTACTTCTTCCCAGGCGTAAAGATCTCTATAAATTGGCCGGACATATTTCATACGACCTTGACCGTTGAGAAACTCGAAAGTGTCTTTTAAGCTGTCCATATCTTTACTTTTAACAGTGAGACGAATAAACCTAAATTGTAATTCCGTGTTTCCACTAGATTTCAAATTGTATTCATCGCCTATTTTTCGAAGTTTATCAATGGGCAATGCAGCGCCGTCGATTAGGTTCTGCAATAAGTGGATTTTTTGGTGCACGCTGAAGTTTTGTACATCCGCTGCAGCAGGAACGAAGTCAGGAGTATAAAAGCGGTCCAGCAACTCTTTCACTTCTTTTGTCATAGATGTGTCATATCTGTAATGAAAATTAATTGTTAAAATCACATTCTCATTACTCGGAGTGCGTTTTTTATTTTGTCCATTCATGTTCATCAGTCGTCATCATGGTATTTGACATGTACACAGTTCGTAGTATGTATGTGTGAAGTACCATTAAAAGTATGTGTGAAGGACTCAGTTGACCAAAATTAATAGTATCAACATTAAAACAAGGACGGAAATGGAATATAACTCTGATACTAAAACAACGCTATATGGAGTACCGCAAGGTAGTATTTTGGGACCATTGCTCTTCCTAATATATATTAATGAATGCCTAAAGCATCCTAGCATTAAATGGTGTTCTATGCGGACGATTGTACAATGAAATATATTAAAGGCGGTATTCCCCGGCAATGGCACAGTCAGCCTGAATCAGGGACTCGAGTTCATATTATTATTACTATCATGTTTCCCAAAATCCGTCCATCTTTTCTTTTCTTTTACTTTCATCTTATGTGGTCTATACAGTGAAGATGTATATTTAATTGTAGTGTATGAGTTACATTATCTAATAATGTATTCTTAAACACTCTATAGTCCTGGTGATGAATTTGTTGTAATAATTGTTAAAATAATACAGGCTGAAAGTTACATTAAACTTTGAAATAATGGCGCAAGGGTTGAATTTTTTACAGCAATGTTCGTGTTGTTTAGGAGAAATTAGTTCTTTAACATTCCGCAATATGGCGAGAGTTACAAAGCTATTTATAACCTATACAAGAAATAACATATTTATAGTAACTTAGGACATACATTATATTCAACAAATCTAGTGGTAAAATGCGACTGAACACATCGTTAACAATTACAGCGAATCCTATAATAAAATACCTAAATTGTAAACACCATATCTAGACGCAAAACATGCTTTACGTGAGGCGCACTATAAGTTTCCGGAATTAATAAGAAAAAAATACTATAAAAGGTCTGAAATGAATTTATTGTTTCTCAAAATATTCTCCGTTAGCGTTAATGCACTTTTTCATACGAATGAACTAATTTTGAAAACGTTTATGCCACTCCTCCGTGACAATCTCTGAAACATATTTTTCATACTTTTCAACAGCCTCTTCAGGTGATGAAAATCGATAACTTTCTGTCAATCGCCTTTTCTATATCAGCCAACTTTTATATTGATAAAAGGTGAGTATGTTGGAATTAGTTTACATTCCTACCATTAGTGAGATGTTATGGCCTCAAAAAAACTTAGGTACAGTCAAGAGCACGTCAAGCTTGACACTTTGTACTTTGGACCGTTGTTATCGTAAGCGGCACAGCGTTGGATTTTAATCTTAAGTGTCAAGCTTGACGTGCTTTTGACCCTGTACTAAAACAGTACTGTTACATAAAACAACACACACAGATTTCTCACAGTGTGCACTGTGAGAAATCTATGACAATGGCAAAATGAGAAGAAATCGTACTTAATTATTTAATAAAAAAAAATTAATTCTAATGAATTTTAATATAAAAACACAAAAAAGTAAATATCCATGTTTTAGGACAAATACCTTTGACGGATATTTACCGGGTCAAAACCCATCTCTAATTGTTGATGATTTGATGAATGGCAAGATCGCTGAAAATGTTACTGCTGTCACCTCATTCCATTTATCTTTTAAATTTGGGTTACGTGGAATATTAAAAAAAAATGTTACGGAATATTTTTATAACATTTCCTAAGGCCATAAGAATTATTGTCCTTGTTTCTTAATTAGTTCTTATATCGGTCATAATCGAGAACTGTATTGAATAAAGTGAACATCAGTAATAGCAAAATTCGAACCAAAGCAGATTGAAGTGACAGTACCACGAATCTTAATGCATTATACGAAAGTATCGCTCGTTCGATATTCATATTAAAGGACCACAAATGTAAAGCCGAAAATGTAAATAAAAGCCACAATGTATTACCAATCATGCGAAATATACTCGTTTGCATATTTGTTTTCTTGAAATTTATATAAAATGAACATTTTTTATTTTACAATAATTTATGCATATTCTGATTACAAAATGACTTAACTGAAGAAGGAGACGTTCTGTTTATGCATCTACTCATAGCTGTGGTGTTTTCGCAGTTTTTAATGGCACAGTTTTTGCGTTTTGCGACTTTTGCGACTGATGTTTAACTACAATAACGGCCGGACGCGTTGTGAAGCGTAGCAGCGGCAACTAAACATTTTTATATTACATTGGGCATGGGTAGTAGGCACACTTGCGGCGTATATTTAGATATAATAATATGGTCTGTGGTTTTAAAGAACTTTTGGCTGTAGTGTGCACACTGTGAGAAATCTATGACAATTTTTCTTCACTCCAACACTTCAGTAGCCTTGGTATAGCACAGACGCAGGAGGAATTTTTCTTTGCGATCAATAATTATACATAACACAATTTAGAAAATTTAGACTTACTGAGGAATAATCGGTGGCATGCCGGGTCCATAAAGCCAAACGCCCCAGTCGATATCTTCCACAGCTTCCTCATTTGCGAAGTAGCTGGAGAAGAACTCCCTGAACTCATCCGTGTCCAGTGATTTCATTTTGTACTTTTGCAGATACGCGCGAATAAAATCGTCGAATTTTTCTGTTGAATAAAACGTTACAACTTCAGGCCTACCGCTCAACTGAGGCGGTTCCAGAGGTAGCTGCGCGGTCCGAGAGGTGTGACGGCTTACGTCACACCTATGTCGCGCTACACGCAGTATAGTTTCAACAAAGTGTTTCTGACGACATTCAGGTGATTGAAAAAGTGCCTACCAAACTAGTTAATTGTCGTTATGTGAAACGATAATCATAGTATATTTTTTATCGAGGAACTAAAATGAGCCAATACATAATTGGGCCCTGATTTTAATTGAAATCGGAATCGATCTGATGTGGCTACCAACTCGGATGGCTTTTAGCCTCGAGGTGAAAACTTTACTTTTCACTTCGATTGCGAGAAAAAAAAATTCAATCGTTCGTGCTTTACAACAAAATTATGAACCAAAATTCTGAAGTTTTCGTGGTTTTTTTTTTCAACCAGATACAACAAACGCACTAACGGTAACGCGGGAAAATAATATGGCGCCAACGTCTAAGCGGAAAAGTCACGGAACTAAAACCGAGCGTAAACACACTACTGGCTGTTAGAGTTTGTGAACTCGAAGTAAATAAAAAAAATAGGTACTTTTACTCCCTAGGGATTAAAGGATGCACTTTACTTCCGCTACGCGAGGCTATTTTGACTTACTTTTAGAGTATGAGATTGAGAAGTGAAAAAACTTTTCATTGATAACTGAAATTAATAGACAAGCCATTTGGCACCTTTTGCAGTCAACTTGTTATTGAATATCGTCAGAAGAATCTTGTTGAAATTATTCTGTGTGCAGCGCGACAACTGTTACGTAAACTGTCACTCCTCCCGCACCGCGCAGTCTGAGGAACCGACTCAGTTAAGTGGAAGACCTATAGAACATTGTGAATAAATCGTTGAATGCCTCTAGTAACAATACCTCCCGTTAACGGTAAAGGTAATATTAATTTGTTGATGTGTATTTTCGGAGTAGCCTTTGCTGAGTAACAATTGGACAACTGGATGCTGATATGCAATAACGTGTCAACCGACATGATCATAGTTTTGCGAAAATGTCACCTAAAATATCTTCGTTGTTTTTGATAGTTCGTTCTAAAATTTACTTTTGTAATTGTAATAAATTGTAAAAAATTTTGTAATTGTCGCTTCAGAACTGCTGAATTGTTGTAATTTATTACTATAATTCTCCAACAACTACAAGCACAACAGCAAAAGTTTTCATTTTATAAGTAAATTTTAGAACAAACTATCAAAAAACGTATAAATCTTTAAGTGCCATTTTCGCAAAACTCGAAAAAAAATCACCATTTGGTTGATACATTATTTCAACATAGAAGTATAAAAAAATACATAAAAAATCATACCAGGCCCTCCGAACTTGTCTTCTAGTACCCTTAAAAACAATGACCCTTTTTCAAGAGTGATGCCAGTAGCCACAGCAACGTTAGGATTTGTTCCTCGGTGTAAATTAGGAATTAATTGTGTGAGTGGATGATTAAATCCGAAAACATTTTTTACCTAGAAACCGTAAGTTTTCTCTTAGACTTACCAGGTCCTCCTATCTTATCTTCCAGGTATCGCAGAAAGAGAGATCCCTTCTCGTAAGGGACTGTAGAAAAAGCATCATCTGGGTGAACACCCTCCTTAAGGTTAGGTACCAAACAAGTTAAAGCGTTGGTTTCGCCTAACGTGTGAATTATCTGAAAATGATATATGGTACTGGTATCTACATATTCTACAAAGACATCCTACGATGATTAGCTTGTTAATTCTATTTATGAGTATACTCTAAATTCTAATGAAACCATTATGGAAATTAAAGGCAATGAATATTACATAATGACAGTGGCGGATTTGCAGTCTCGGCCGCCCTTGGCCCCAGGCCATGTAGTCAGCACCAACCGCCCCTTTCTTAGCACTTTATCATATACTGGTAGACTACAAAATGAATTTACTTTTATCGAAATCGATGATTTTTTCCGACATCTTCAACATTTATCGTCATATTTCAGCCAAATTACACAAAACCTAAATAAATTATACACCTAAACAAACCTTCCTCACGAATCACTCTGTCTATTGGTGGAAAACGCATGAAAATAGTTTTGAGGTTATCACGATCAGACAGACAGATGCAGTAGTGACAATATGTAATGATTATATATAGATTATAGATATGTGTAACATATTATTATCTATATTTTATGCATAAAATGTATGAAAGTGATTTAGGAAAATTATTGTTATACGATGCGGTGCAGTGCGACCTGCCACAACAGGCGTGAGCCTTTAGCATATTTAGCTACTTTCAGTTATTTCTTGTTACCATCAGTGAATTTTTTGTCTCGATTGGCCGCCCCTAAAATCTGGCCACCCTAGGCTCGGGCCTATACTGTGTCTTAGGGCAAATCCGCCACTACGTAATGATGAGATTTGTTGGCTGCAAATAATGTCTACGTAATACGTACATTATGTTAGTAGGACTTTTTTAACAATACAATAACAACATTCATTGTAAATAAATTTAAAAAAAATGCTTGTTTATAAACACAAATACATCGTAGAAACATACATTATTATATTGGTCGATGTATATAGTAATAAATTAATGCATTACAAAAGAAATAAAATCATAAAATACAATAACACTGAAACTGTTATAAATTAAATATATTTATTATTTATTAGTAAATGAATAAGTATAAAGTTCCATGGTAAATATTACCACCCTTCAATAATGATTTGATGAATTAGCCGTTAATTTTTTTCTTTATTTCAGAAAAGAAATAATATTGAAAAACTAATGTAAGTAGGTAGTATGCAGAACTTAGCAAATGGAGCTACGTAGTCTGCTTGTCCCATTGGGAGACCTGTGTGATAGTATATGTATACACATATAAACTAAAAATACTTATTAAATTGAACTTTAATATTATTGTTTGACGATATAGAATTGAATACACACTCAAACTCAAACTAAACATTCAATAAAAGTTTTAAAAAGCAGTAGAGCTCCACATGGAAGAGTTCCTCCGGGGAAATTCTGCCACGTTACCTATTTCTGCCGCTAAGTAGTAATGTGAGCGTAATTGCGCTCCGATTTGGAAGGGTAAGGGTGCTGGTGAAATTACAGGCACATGGGACTTGTCAACTTAAGCCTCAGGTGACAGGCGCAGTGGCAGTGCCCCTAAGATATTTGCGATTTCGGTATTATGAAAAAAAATACTCACAGTTTCATTCAACTCCTGCAGCCCTAAAATGCTCTGAAAGTCTCTAATCTTCTTGGCCTCAACCGGGTCCTTGACTAAGGAAGGGCCGACCTTCCTCTCGAGGAATACTGTCCAACCCTCGTTGAGCCAAAAATGCTCGAAATTTTTGTTCGTGACGAGGTTGCCTGTCCAGCTGTGCATTATTTCGTGGACTATGACGTCGGCTTGACTCTTGTCTCCAGCCTGAAATTATAAGAAAAAATATATTTACCTGTACATACTTTGTCAAAACTGAAGGTCACTAAAAAAATCTGAAATAATCTTTATTTCATAGGTAAGCAAATTATAACTGAAATCGTCATATTGACTAAACTCTACTGCTCATTTTGTAAGAGCCAAACGGGTCACTACCTCGGATTTTTGTCATCCAAGTACGGAGAAGCTGAAGCTGTATAAATTGCCTTTTTTTAATTGAATTTTTAAATGCCTAGTTTTTAATTTTATTTAAGCAAATTAATATCAACCGGAATCGTTTCATAGAAGCGTAGGTGTAGGTATACATTGCGTCCTAATTGAATTTGTAAATTTGTGCAGCCGACTATCAAGAGCAGTTTATTTTTATTCCTCGTATTAATATTAATGTGTCATTACTCATTACTTTTCATTAAAAAAAATCATATTAAAAGAACTAATTTCTTCTAAACTAATCTCGATTTAAATGTCCCTGCAAGCTTAATAATAATCACAAGGACAAAAGCTGTCTTCGCACGCAATCAAGCTTGTAAATGATCTGACTCAGTGTAATCGGTTGTTTTCAGCTAGATTTGCCAGATGATTTCAAAGACAGTTTGCGTTCGAGAGCTCGACTAGAAATCATAATTGTAGGTGAAAGGTAAAGAAGTCGATTTTTTATACTCGATGTGGATTTTAGAAGTTTGAATTTAGAAACATTGCTTTAGAATGCTAAAAACATCAAAGTCATATACTCGATACCTAAAAATCACTCAATGGTAACAGATATCACGTTCCATCGTCATTTGCTTTTTATTTAATATTTATTTATTTATTGCCTATGAAGTGAAGAGCGATTTCATTTAATGATTAGTTAGTATTGAAATATTAGGTTCAAATTAACATTTTTATTAAAATATGCCAGACGCGTGCACTTTTTACCTAGACAAGGGTTTTGCTGTTTTATGAGTACTACCATAGGCCATATTCTTGATGAAATAGGTGCTTTTGAGATACGCTATTTTAGAATCGCACACGTTTTGAATGTGGCAAGGAAGAAAAAAACAATGCAAGTGCCTTAGCCCTCGATTACTATCCGAACCGTTGTTGCCAAAACGTACACTAACAAATGATAAACACTATGAAATCTTGATGATGATTGGTAGTAGTTTCTAATTTAAAAAGATGTAACAAATTTTGGACTGTTAATATAATTTAAACTTTACCCAGTCATTATATCGTTCAAAGTTCTATACTTTTGCTAACGTGCTGCCATCTTGCGACCAGTAACTGGACTACGACGAACGACATCTGAACGAATAGAAAGTAGTGTCTTCTCGACAATGTCTTCTTTAACGCACCCGTTGCATAATGAAAAGTTCATTTTTCGATTTAAAATTAACAAAACACTCATGAAGCATTTTGTTCGCTACTAGCGTGGAAAATTCGAGATCTTTACCTAGTACTCCAAAAGATAAAACTCGTCCAAATTGCATTGGGATAATGTTTACTTTCGTTTGTTACAGAACACTAAATTAAATTGGATAAACAGAAGATGGAAAAACTATTAAAATAAGACTTACTGACGATATGAAATACCACCACGGATAATATTTTTGATGCGGCTATCTTTTTTGCACACCAAAACAGCCCTAAATAAGGCATTTTTCTAATATTTTAGATGATTTGCGCGAAAGAAATGCGCGCGAAGATGGCGTACTGAACTCAAGTATGGACAACTGTCCATACAGTGGTCACGCTTGTGATGCTAACTAACCACTCCTACTAGTATTTATTGCTCTGTGGTAGCAACCAACATCAATTCATATTTAACAAATTAATGCAATATTTTTATTGAGACTTACCAATAAAGTAGGCGTAACAAAAGTCAAGCAGGGATTCTCCATACCACCGTATGGGAAGGAAGGTGGCAACACCAGGAGATCATATTGCCCCCAAACGTACGGCCCGCATAATCTCTCAGCTGCCTGTAAGTATTTTTCTGTATCCTCAAATTCATAGGCGCTGCGTTCTAAATCTTCGGGCTCTGCCCATACTGTTGACCTAAAAGAAAAAACAAAAACTTGTATGTTACCATATTCTACAGGCGGACTGCTTGTGCGTTCGCGACGACCAACAAAAAAAAATATCTTGCTTAATTTTTCTTTGTGGTCACACTGTTTGGATTATTTAGTTTTTAGTTAAACATCGGCCATTCTCACATTCGGTGTTCTCAGCCTAATTACCGTAGCTATTGTTGTTTTTTTTCGCTTAATATACACAATAACATTTCAATATGAACAACTTGAATCTTAACCATCAATATGTCTAAATAAATAGACAAAGTAGTTTTAGAGTTATTAAGACACGAATATTTTATGGTAACGGTAATTAGATGTAATTACCGTAGCCGTGGATACGGTAATTAGAAAGTAACGGTAACTAGAGAACACCGAATGTGAGAATGGCCGACATACATTTGGATTTCTTAATTTTTTGTCATCAGTTAACTGATGGTTTACAAAAATCGAACAACACAAAGAAAAATTCGTTTAATCTGACTTGACTCGATCAGCGTCTGCTGCCAATTGAGCTACAGATCGAGTCAGAAGATCTTATTTGCCATCAGCGCCACCTTAAAGAAACTTGTGTAAGTTTCTTCACTCGGCCAGGCCAGGTAAGGTGGACATCTTTTTTTAAATTAATTTCTAATAAGATTTAAGACAAAATTTGTTATGATTGTAACACGTGTTTTATTGGTAAGGTCAATTACTGGGTATTCATTATTGGTGAGTATCGATTAACTGGTAAGTTAATTAGCGGATTTTTGGTGTTCACTACTGGAGATTTAGAAAAATTGTATAGCTTTATAAAGTTGATAGCTTTTTTATGAAAGATATTGCAGCATAACCTTTCTTGAGGATTATAGTTGTTAAGTCAGAGGTCCCGGGTACGATTCCCGGGCCAGGAAAAATGTTTGTATGGCTTACATTTATTTCATTCGCGAGTTGGGGTGTAATTTGCGGTTGTCTATGTGTTGTCTAGTGCTGTGGTGTGAGTGTGTGCGTTAAAAAACGATAAAATAAACTAATCACTATTCACAATGTTAAAAAAAAATTTCAAATTTAAAGACACATTTCCGAATGATCGACATTCGGGAATGTGTCTTTAAATTTGAAATATTTTTTTTGGTGCCTTACTCTACCTTACCAGAGAGAGATGTTGCTATATTAACTGCAATATTATTTTTATTGAATATCGTGATGTCTTTCCTATGACGACGATTCCTATACAGTATAAATCAGATTGAAGGAATATTTCGTTGTGTTGTTCAATTTTGTATTAATAATAATAACAAGCTAGTAGAGTATTTTCACAAAAAATACTTGAATATTATACAATATTGAATAAAATAAATATTGCAAATATTATTATTATATTGCTTACCTGGGACCAAGTGATTTACTCTCGAGGACCCCAACAGCAATAGCAAGTAAATAGGAAGGAATAGGCACGGGCTGCCTGAATTTGAACGTGTTATTGGAGCTCGGTTCCCTAAGTGCGCTCATGAGCACCGTGAAATTGGGCGGCGCGGTTACCTCAGCGTCATAAGTGAATTTTACGGCGGGCGTATCTTGACAAGGTAGAATGGAACGAGCGTGAATAGGCTAGAAAAAATATAGTATATGACAAACGACAGGAAATAAACAGTTTAACTCTAAGAGCCTTATCACACTGGCGATTTGCGAGCGATTTCAAAGCGAGACAATAGCGCGGCGAGCTCGCAGCTAGTTCGCTGCAAGTACGCCACCGGCGAATGACGCCGTGCACGCCATGTTGTACACTCTCGTGCATCTGCTCTATAGCAACATATAAATATAATAATCATCATTACTAAATCATCATCATTAATGATGATTATTACATTTTCATCTAGTCATTGTAATTGAGTTCATGTTGTCATTATAATTGAGTACTTCTTTTATGATCACTCGAAAGTAAACAAGTAAAATAGTATTTATTCCGTTGTGCATTTCTTAACGCACTTTTAGATCTTAAGTGTGTGTCTTCCTTATTTACGTGATTTTAACTTAGTAGTTACTTTGTATCAGTCGATTAGTTGATAATGGATCCTCCCAAATTCGTCGTTGTATCGTTTCATTTAAAATAACAAAAATAACAGCAATGTTTTCTCGTAGGAATTCATTTGATATTCACTGTCCAAAACGCGGGGTACTCGCCGTGTAAAAGTAACGCGCCCGCGGCGTCGACGCTACGAACCCGCGACGAGCACGCCGCGCTCTTGCATCGCTTTCAAATAGCTCGCAAATCGCCAGTGTGATAAGCCTCTTATCAAATTACAGCGATAAGAGTTAAATATGGTATTACAAATTTCTGTATCAAATTATACCTAAAGCGTGAAACATACAGAGAGCGAGTGCGGGTCGGGCGTCCATATAAATACGCGGAATTAGACCCGCCGTACTCCTGACCCGACATGGGCCCCTCTCAGGCGCGAGTTTAGGCCATAGTTCGCCACGCCGGCTCAATGCGGGTGGGGGATTTCACAAGTTATTCGAGGTTTGTGAACCTTCTTCGACGTGTAAGTTTCATCACGAGGTTTTCCTTCACCGAAAAGCTGATAGTACATTTCAAATTAAATTTCGCACATAAGTTCCGAGAAACTCACGAGGTGCGAGTCCGGATTCGAACCCACGGCCTCTGCTTAAGAGGTGGCAGGTCAAGCCATTAGGCTACCACGGCTCTTTTTATAATTGGAGGAAAATTTTACTTGTTTAATTTTGGATTCTCGTGCAGTGTCCGATCCGTGTGTTTTTGTCAATAGTATGTTTGAAATCAACAAAACAAAATATGTTGAAACACAATAATAAGCAAACAAACATATCGTTGAAACTGAAACCTTACATTTATTATTTATACATGTGTGCAATACAACGTACTAACAGAACATTACAATGTATTGTTTTCTAGGTCACGTGTACCTCTACACAAAGAGGTAAAGAATTGTTCAATTTATTGTGACACTTGTAAGAGTACATTTTACATTTGACGAAATATATTTACTAAGTTGATAAAAAACAATTTCATTAAATAGTATTATATCAATATGTTTACGCTGCACAACCTGCGCACGGATTAGGACTGTCGAGGTCGTTTTACATTTTTTAAACTCGAGGCAAATTTTTTAGTTTCGGGAATTTCGAGACCTTTGACTCTTTAAATTTAAACGTTATTAAAAATGGCAACTCTGTAAATAAATAAATATGAGAAACAACGACGATATCACAAACAACCAGACCCGAGACAATATAGAAAAGTTAGTTTTCTACACTGACTCGGCCGGGATCGCACCCGGGACCTCAGAGATGACTTCATACAGAAAACTCTAGGTAGTAATTACCTGACATTGGCTGAAGAGATATTGGTATTTCTTGCCTCTCGTTTGGTTTGGTTCGAGCCACTGCAACGCTGACGCCGACGGAGAAGTCTGATATTGTATCTTTATCCTCACACTGTATAGAAAAAAGTACTAATACATAATAGATATTAAATGTTTAAAAATAAAACAGAACACTTAATAACCTCCGAGAACACTAACTAGAGCAGAACAACCGATTTAGAAGATTTGCATACAAATCCAATCGCTCAGGATTGTGAGGCGTTGGCGATTTTATATGGACGTATGGCACTAGTTAGTACCTATAATAAGACAAGTAGGTAGTGTACCTAACTACCGCCTGTACAGCTCGCCGTCACTCGAAGCGTAGAAGCGCGTACAGATCTGGCGAATGCGCTGCGAAAGCGTTGCGTATTAGCTATCTTTTGTTACATGTGTAGGAATTTTAAAAGCTTAAGTGTGACTGTGATAGTGTCAACGTAAACGAAAATGAAATCATTCTATTTCTAAATACATGAACGATGTACTAGTATATGGTACAAGATACAAATGAGGCCTACACAAAGTTCAAACGTTCATAAATATAGATAATTTATTCATAGAAATTCTTACAACGCCAGTTTACGTAGTTTCGGAGTTTGTTACTAGATGGCACTGACCCGAAATACGGCATTTCTGAATCGTGGTGTCAAGGTTTTCTAAACTTAATAAAGGCCCATTTAGATGGAGAGAGTTTATCGCACGTTTCGTGCCAAACTTGTGACGGTGTGACCTCCTTACACCGTCATCTCACCTTTTTGTATCGCCTCTCTCCGCTTGTATCCTATCATTTTTAATTTTACTTGTATTTTAATTTAAATTGTTCCATCTTCCTTCATCTTCATCTTTGAGATTCGCAAGCAACTCAATCGCGTCCTCGACTGTTTACACAGATAAATATGTAGTAACGAGATTCTTGCTTACGAGTTTTCGACTTGTCTAAACACGATCTCGTATGACATTTTTTTCAAGTTCATACGATTATTGTACAAGTTGGTTCGAACCGTTTTGAGTGCGAGAATTGCCTTTCGAGTTCGGTGATTACTGCGGTATTGACAAACAATATATAAAAATGACGCAAAAATCCATTGACTTACAAATAAATGGACGACGGGTCTAATACAAAAACCTGTACGAAAAAAATGTCCCAAGTCAACCTGTTTGAACGTAGTGACATGTCAAGGAATATTAAAAAGCTAAAACGTTGAATTTAAATTGTAATGTCATCGCAGTACTGTCTAATTTTGCTTGCTACGCTGTCAGTCGAACAAACGAAGACTAAAGCGTGAATGACGCTCTGTATACGATTTTAACGCCCTATAAGTTCGGACACTTTTTAGCGCGGACCGGACGTCCATATAATTGTAAGTCAATCCAAAAATCATTCAAATTTGAAATTACTGATAATATTAGGTTCATTGCACTGTATAGAAATATAATTTTTTTTTAAATTTTATAACATTTCTTAATCCAACATTTTTTTTCGCTCTCGTTTCATTAATTCTTGTCTTAGAAAAGCAGTTATAATCAAAACACCCTCGCGCACTGCACGCATGGTAGAAACTGCTAGCACAAAAACTCGAAATACGATTTTTGCTTTCAATTTGCGATTATCGCTCACGTGGAAGGACGACTATCGGCGAAAAATAAAAGTTTTTATATTCTTTTGATAATCGTATCTTCGAGATGAGAAAATGGGCCTTAAGTAACCAAATAAAGTCCATTTAATGAAATATACATTTATAAAATGATTTTTACTTACCTTCAAATACAAATACTTAGCTTCATATGAAATTGCATGCCAATTTTTATACCTATTGATTTGTAAAAGAAATATTTCAATAATAAGATGTATCAAGATTGTTTACATTTAGGTAAGTAGGTACCTAAATAAAAAGAGTATTTTATTTTATATTAAAGGGACGCACGCTGCAATAATTGTTGTTGAAAGGAAGCTTACTTCTTCTTTTTGCAAATCACAAAACAAAGTGTATCCAGACGGACGAGGCAATCTACTAAGTTTATGACAAATCGTGCACGGCGCGGCAGTAGGGGAAAGGTGTACGAGATGATCCTTGGAGGTAAGATGATCCTTTTCAATTGTAGTGAAACTAGGAATGTCATCTAGATATTTTCTTCAGTAAAATATAGGCCTCAATGTGCCTTGTCATCAGTCAATTCGTAATAGCGATGTGAGTAACGAGTTCATCTTTGTGGAAAAGAACAAAAATTGTGTGAGTTTGATCTAAGGTAAAGTTGATTAAAAGCTTAGGCAATTTCCATTCTAAACAATCAATTGCTAAGATTTTGTGTTGGTGGCTTGTATAATGCTCTATTTACTTTCTTAACGGCGTGGTGACAGTAGACAGCAAACATGTTATTTTGCCGAACAAAAAATAAAAATAAGTAAATTGGGGCAAGATGATGATGGTTTTGGTGTACGAGATTATCCGTGGAGACCATCTTGTACTGTATATATTGTTAACGGATTATTTTTAATTTATATGTTTACCTGAGTACTGAAACCTCTTAATTAAATAGATTGCAATACGAATAAAATAGTAGAAGACTGGATTACGTTTACATGATCGATCTCGATTGATAACAAATATAAATGCTTTTTTTTTGCTTTAGACCAGGCCGCGTAATTGTAAAAGAAAAACCATTCGTGGTGGGTGGTCGGAAGGCTATGATCTAAAGAACCAGAGGCGTAAAAAGTAGGACGCCACATAGATCGGCAAGGAAATAGCAGTAGGTACGTGTTATGTCATTAAAAAGACGGGCTAAAGGTAAAAATAAAGGGTCTGTCAGTTCGATGAAATATTTAGGTGAAAAAAAAACTGTTTTCATCAGATGTGTTAAACAGGAAATCAGGCTCGTAAAAAGTACATTAAAGATATGGAGACGAGGATGGATAGCAACTTGCCATAAAAAACAATATCGCCCACCCTTAGGTACCTGTAAGATATAAACTAATTAGGATTATTTGTTCTCGAAGTTCCGTAACTGTTGTTTCATATACCTAGATTACATAAGTGAGGACTTTGTTAATTCTAAAAAGTTGTTGTTTTCATTTGTTTCTACCAAAACCTAGAAATTTTCCTAATTAGAGGCATCCCCTGGATCATCTTGCCCATAACCTTAGGATCATCTTTCAAGACGATCCTTTAGTAGGGTTTTAAAAATATTCAAATATAATAATGAAAGATCAAAAAATAAAACGTTTTTAGTAAGACAACATGTAAATAGATAAATTTTCTATCATTCAACGCTTTTACATCTGCTTTAAGCTGAATATCTTTTAATCTACCACCATTCTCCCTTAAGGGGATCATCTGGTACACCTTTTCCCTATATCGCCACATTTCTTTACTTAATGTCTTAATAATTACTAAATATTACTTCACCGTATGCTTCGTTTGATTCCTGGATTTAGTATTGAGTCCAGAAAAGTTGTAGTCTACTCACTCATCCCCTATCATCTACTACAGGCTTAAAAACAAATAAAGCCGAAGTAGTTCTTTTTCCTTTGCATAAGTAATGATTTGTACAAAATAATTACCTACACAACAAATTAGTACTCTGCGCGGCACACTTGTGTTCTATTGCTGATAAGGAAAGGGGAGGGAGAATAGGTACTTGACCTGGGTTTTATACAACGGGCTTAAGTGATCAGTCATGAAGAAACAACGCACCTTGTTCAAGACTCTGATGTCCAATTGCACTGAACTTAAGAGTACGTCTTAAACCAATGTATTAAGTACACTTTTAACACAATACATTAAAGCATAAGCATTGGTTTAACATTGACTTTCTTAAGTCCAGCGGAAGCGGAAACTCTTGTTTTCGTAGGGTTGTTTTGATCACAGTTTCGATGTAGCTCCTAAGGTTCAGATCGCAGCAGCGCAGGAGATATCTTCATACCCGACGAGGTACTTTGATGGGTCAGAGTTGTGTTCATTATAGAAGGAACAGGAATAGTGACAATTTTATCGTAAACGCGCAGACCGACGTTTTCTCGGCATTGAATACAACAAGATTTTTGTATCCACAATCATTCAGGAAGTCCAAAGCCCACTTAATTTATATCGATAACATCGTGACGGTTATAGAGTGATTAGGCGTCATTTGTATCAAGTACCTTACAAATAATTTGTGGCCTGCATACTGTATATAAGCCAGACGTCTTTCAATTTCTCAAATACTGACGCTACTCTAATATTATACATTAATAATTATCCAATTAAATGGATTTACAATTACAAATGAACAGACGAACACTTAAACAAGCCATCAAATATGCTCGTAAAAATCTACTGAAGTACATGTCCAAGCGCAAAATAAATAATGAGCATATCGAGAATGCAGTACGTATATTTTAATTATGAACTCAGTTTTCACACCTTCGTAAATTTTTGATCTGTTCTGTTTTGATTTGTTCCATAGGACTGTCAACTCTTGCAATATGCGGATTATTTAGATAGTTTTTATTTTCATGTCTAGAACTATTAAAACCCTGAACTCCCACTGGATCACATACGTCGTAATGACAAGATGGAAGTTCTTGCATCAGTTCACTGTCAGTTCCAACTTTATGGGAAACTTTATAAATTTGTGATTCTAAGTCTTCTGAAGTCACGCTCCCGAATGTCTCACTTGACATAGGAGAACAATTTCGACAGCTCAAGTAACTAGGGTCAGACGGTAATTTACACAGACTTCGTGACACCAGATTAGTGTTATGGTAGGCAATTTTATTTGTATTTATCTCATCCCTGTAACATCCACAGGGATGTACAGTCATAAAGGCAAGTTGCGTTGGTAGCATTTCCTGTTTATAGAACTTTAGCGTCTCCCCTTTGTAAAGTTTTGTTAGCGTCTCTTCACTGAAAAATTTTCTTAACATCGCCACACCGTACTCACTCTTCTTTTGACCCACCCTCTTAGAAGACTTGTTTAGCATCTCCGTTGCAGTACTTTTCATTTGCATCTGGCTCATGTCAGTGCTCTGTTGTGACTCATTATCACTATCTTTTAAATAAGGCTCTGTATCTAACACAGGAATAGACGTACAGTTGCCGCATTCTGACGATTTATGTTTCCATTTACTTTTAAATGAACGTTTTGTCGTGATTTTTTTTTCTTTCTCTTTCTGTTCTTCAGTTGTATCCAGCGATTCTCCAATACTAATTATGGCTCCTCTTTTTAAAAGAAAAAAGCATTTAAGGGGGTATGTAAATTTTTTAGGAAAAACGAACTCGGACCGCAATCACTTACAACACGCAATTTACAATTTTGGCGCGATTTATGAGGAGTGGTAGCCCATGGTTGTAACTTTAAGTGACATAGACACATTTGTAAATGTTTAGTACCAATATCGTGATGAAACACGTCAAAAACATTAAAACCAGTTTGTCAAAATTCGTACTAAAAGAATTAAACCACATATATGAAAGTCGCACATACATATTTATCCTACACAAGAAAGTCTCCAGACACTGATGTGACCTCCAGGGTTTCATGTTTGATGTACTACATAGAAGTATTATATAATAATAGGTACCTTGCATGTTGAAGAAGGTTCACAACCTTTGGAAAACGCGTGGAGGCCTCAACATAGGGCCTAAAAACTCGTTGACGAGGATAATTAAATAATATTTTGCCGTCAAAATTGTAACTTACGTCCAGTCGAGATAAACGGGACGCTATGACTTCAATTGTTACGTCATTATTGAAGCGATAAGTAAATCGAACTAAATAAAACATAATGGTACTAAACAATGGAATGTTCTTTATAATACAACTGCTAAGTAAGTCCATCTTACTACTCCAAACTAATATTATAAATGCGAAAGTAAGCACGTTCGCGCACGGCACCCGATTCGTATTCGGTCCTAATCCGAGACTATACAAATCTGGAAAACGTCCGATTCCAATCCGAGAAAACATGAATATCGCTTGTACTTCTAGAGATAAAATGATACTTCGGACACTTGTGACATTTCGGTCCGTCATTATACAAACCCGATATGAATCGGACGTAGCGCGCAAACGGAGACCTAGAAGGACATGGGCGACTTTTTGTCACAAAAATAAATCTTCAAGGGCAAGCACATAGGGGATGAAAGTTTGTATAACAACAAACAGTAGGTTAACCGAAATACTTATTCTACGCAGTTCGAAAAACGTTAAAGAGGTTAACTACAGACTCACGCCTTAGCTTGTAGTCAGAATTGTAAATGAGGGAAGTCCACGTCTCAGTGCGACAAGGGCGGTGCGGAGAAGATAATATTTTTCCTACACTTTACAAAGCTAAAGTAGTTTTTATGGAGAAAGGTTACACAATCTTTTGGTAAATTCAATAAGGTGAAAAATAGGGACGTAGTATGACATATTGAAATACATCATCTGGTACAACTCATATTCGCTATCGCATATAAAATGTATCAAATTAGTTCTAAAATAACGAATATTAAAGACCATAGTGATAAAGAAATAAAATTCAAAAAAAATGTGAACATACCGCTCGCTCTGATCATCTTTCAAAGGAGGAATGAATATACTCAGTTTTTTGCCAAAGTTGATTACTTCACGGTCCACAACGTAATGCAAATGGGTACCAACATCATCATCCAATTGTACTGATTCTATAGTTTGATCAGTTACATCGAATACCTGTAAAAAAATAATAATACGTCATCCATCATTATTCCGATTACAAGGATCTGTTGTTAACACAAGACTTCGGACATTGACCGGCGCAGTTGCTCGTCCACGTTTGGAGCGACCTTCGCCAGGTTGTCACTCCTCATAGTATTAGTACAGTGGCCGGTAAACTCATTAATCAACAGACCCAAATATCAGCAGTACAGGGATTAAATTTTGAGAGCCAATCGATACCTCCCAAGTAAGTTGTCAAATGACAATTTTTTTGGTTTTTGACTTAAATAATATATCCTTTTTTTATGTATATTATAGGTTCCATATTTGAAAGTAAACATAACAATAAGAGATTTCTTTACATTTAAATAAAATTAAATATACCATCAGTCCAGCGAAAATGACACCGCTGGCGCTGTTCAAAAAAATAAATTACAGAATTTGGTTTTCAGTTCACTTCTCATGCTCTTAAAGTTCGTATTTATGCTGGGTGTAGGCTGCATAAAATAGGATTTTATGCTCTAGTGCGTAAAATAAAAAAAACCATCACATTAAATATGTCTAATTGTTGTAATTTTACATTCAATTTTAATGAAATAATCGTTTATTTGTAATACTGCTGTTCAATTTCCTCGCAATCGAAATGAAAAGCAGAGTGTATAACTCGTTCATAAAACCCATTTTACCCTCGACTTAAGTATCCACACTCGCCTGCGGCTCGGGTAAAATGACGCGTTTTATGCACTTGTTGTACAATCTACTATTTAATTGTATGGCTAGAATACGCCAAATAAATCAAATCATTAGAAATAAATGAGATTTTTCGGATATTGTACAATTATTGTATTTTGTTGTCTTCATCAACGCAGCCATATTGCTGTCGTCTAGGTATAGTGAAGCATTTTTTCCTACAATATTAGCAACAATTTTCGCGGTTATTTGTGCGTCTTTCTAAAAAAGTTATTACTGTCGAAGAAAATGCAATTTACGAATTTTAAAACCGTGATAAGTGATTGCGTGGAAGTATATATGGTGAGGAGTTATTAGAGTTTCAATAAATACTACTTTCAACACCACCCGGCACAATGAAAAATATATATATTTTTATTTTAACCAATAACTAAGCAATGTATTGACATTTGCTTTTGTAATAATAACAATTATGCTAAGGGTCATTATTTTGGTTGGGCATTGTGCACATAAATAGGAACGTAAATATTAAGATTTGAAAGTGTGTTCCACCCGTCACAGTGATGGGTGGGATACGGTTCTATACGTTTTTACTATGAATAAATGTTTGTTGTTTCATGGATTCGAGTTTTTACGATGTTTACTAGGTGTAACAGTTGCTTTAATTTCGGAGTGTAACATTTGATGTGTTAAATTGTGACGATTGGGATACCATTTTGTAACAGGTGGGACAAGGTACATTTGAATACATAGAATTTTAAAAAATACACCGTTTATATGTAGATCCAACATTAGTAAGCAATTTTTTTATAATTCTTCTCATAATGAAGACATTTTAATACATAAAAAAGACAATTAAAAAGTGACAACATTTTTCCTGATGTTTTTTAGTAATTCATGAAAAGTCTGTCTTCATTAGTTTTAACTATATATTTTAGTGGCAGTAGAGCTCCTTGTGAAAGAGTTCGTCCAGGGTAGCACTGCCACCTTAGCTATTTCTGCCGCCAAGCAGTAATGCAGTTGCAGCAGCATTACTATGTTCCGGTTTTGAAGGGTACGGGTGCTGGTGAAATTACAGGCACATGAGACTTGTCAACTTATGTCTCAGGGTGACGGGCGCATTGGTAGTGCTCCTCAGATTTTTGCGATTAAAAGATCTGAGTGGCACTGCAACTGTTATGGACAGGCGTAGCTTACCATCAGGCGCACGACTTGTTCGTCCCGTCACTTGATGTGTATATATAATATATATATATATACACGAGCAAAACTTCTAAAATTTGATATGATACATAATCTTCAAGGATGCGGCGATTTTCAAATTTATTAACGCATTTTACATGCGTGACATAATAAGATTACTTTATTAGTTCTTTAATTTTGTTTTTTTTTTCATGTTAAAATGTCTTCATAAGACAAAAAATGTAAAATACTTGCTTACTAACGATGGATCTCATATTAAACAGTGTAATTTTATTAATTCTGTGTATTCAATTGTAACTCGTCCCATCCGTCACAAAATCATGTCCCACCCGTCACAACTTAACATATTAATTTCGTTAAAATTTATCAACGTTATTAATTAAGTGTATACATAAAATAGAACTTTAACATTCAAGTTATCTCATATGAAAAACTTGCTGAACAAAATATTAATAGTTCGGCTTGATCTTGGCAATGAAACCATCAACCCGTCACACTTAGAAAATTAAAAGTTTTGATAATATAAATAATGTCATAAATTTATGTAAATAAATAGTTGCAGTTGAATTGCATATCTGGCTTCATCATATTTTCATTTTAAGTATAATAAACCAACGTTAGGGATAAATACTTAAAGTTCAAGAAAAAGGGTTCAAAATGTGCTGCATGTGGTTTGTGAGTCACGATTTGCCGACCACTGCCTAGTGGGAAATGTTTCGTGGGGAATTTCTTCGTTCTTCAAGTTGATTCGTCAAAAAATTGGAAAAAATAGTTTGTAAGGTAACTATGGAATAACACGCTCCCAAAGCTCTTATTCCATGGTTACGTAACGAAACACCTGTCGATATTTTAAACTTGTGATAAAACTGACAATGTTCAAGATAAAAACCACTTATGGAGTGAAAGTTGATAGACAGGCTCTTCAGATATATTTAAAAAATCAAGCTCTTTCTGGCCTGCAAAACCAGTTGATAATGTCTACTACATTATTGTAGATTATTATAAAGCCTACACAGACTTTATAATGATATCGTGCCTTTTGTACTTCTATATTAAAATCGCCGCTAAAATTTTGATAGTCACACCGTTGTTGTTAAGGAACAGATGTCGAATATAGGGGAACAGAAACAGGTGGGCAGACACAAAAAATATAGGACGTAAATTCGACTTTTTTTTTTCATAAAGACTAGAGGAACTGCACTTAGGTTTGTAGTGAGTATATATCGCGCGTGGCTGTTTAATCAGTCAAGATTGAAAGTAAATTTAGAAACGTAATTTCTCAATGAGAACGCCAACATTTCAGCTCTTTGTTTCAAGATGAAAGTTATTTATAAAGGAAATTCCTTTCAATGCGTTAATAAATACCAGCTAGACCACTGTGAAAGAGTAGGTCTGCTTATTTTGTAGCCCATTTGTACACCATTTACGAATTAAATAAAGTGTCACATAACATTTAAAATAAAAAAGGAAGTGTATCAGCGTAACTGTTATGTTCTTATGTGTGTAGAAATACATAATTCGTTACAGTCTGAATTTAAAGATAAATGTTAAAATTATAATGCATTTGTTCAGCAGCATAACGGTCATCATCACCGCCTTATCCTGATTTCCCTTTACTTATAATTGGCATCATATGTTCTCCTCTACTATCTATGTTTATCAGCTGTCATCTTGATTAATCACAAATTTTAGGTATATCTTTTAGGCGTTCTTCTTTGGGGTCACCAATTTAGGGGTTTCGAATCGCCAATTTAGGTACTGAGTAGCTGCAAGTACTTTTCAGTGAACTGATTGATTATGAGGTTGGATTCAGAACCAGAATGCATTTATTGGCATATTTCGCTATTCTTATACTAATCTAAAAGCGCTGAATAGTTTAATCTCTGAAGGTTAATACACAATCAACCAATCAGAGGACCACATTATTTGCAAGAGCGAGACAGATGTATTGCTATCTCGCTATTATAAAGATGCGCGCCTCGTGGTTTTTTTTTTTTTTTTGAGAAAAAAGTTTGCCGCGCAGTACAAAAATGACTCGGGGCGAGCAGACGTGACTTATGCAGCTACACTTTCTTTAGTTCATTTTCTCTTCTAGAGCGTCCACGATAAGACTGTCATGGCGAGTAAAAACAAGATCTGTCAAATATACTTACAACTTTCCCTTTATTCTGCAGCACATCAATATCATACGTAGCCGTTCCCTCTAGTGTTTTTTCTTCAAAATTCACATTCAGCACTAATGAGACATGTCTGATAACTGCTATTTCTGTTAACATTTTCAACAAATTTAGTGCGAGGCCCGATACAAACACTTGTATGGATAAATGAGCAATTAACCATGTTATCCATATATTACGAAAAACAAATTTAGTGCGAGGCACGATACAAACACTTGTATGGATAAATGAGCAATTAACCATGTTATCCATATATTACGAAAAACAACAGTATTTTGCTTATTACATGTGTCGATTGGTTTTAAAAAATGATTTTTTCTTAAATCTTTATTTATTATTTATTTATGTAATTATTTAGAAAAACAATAAATCAAGAAAACTAAATGAATAATTCAAAATACCGAAAGTCAAAAGTCTATTTACTTTAATTTGATGAAAATTCCCCATTAAACTATAGGCAATAACTTTATTTTTGAACTGCACAATTTGTAAAAAAAAATCATGTACTTTTACAGCTCTACCTTGGACACCAATTTCACTTTATGACAACTTTCACGAACTAATAAAAATTAGGTAGAAATAACTAACACAAAATATTAACAAATTATATAATCAATAGTCGCTAATACTAATGATATTGATGTATTTTTGAAAATTAATTAAATTTTTCTTACCTGGTCTCGAAAACGATGACGGATCATTTGGACTCAAGGAGGCCATTGCAATGGCTTCACTATAAAGCAGAATATTCACTGTTAAAAGCAATTTCCATTGAGTTAAACTAACCATTGTTGTATTAATATATCACTCAAATTGTATAGGACAACTAATATATGAGTAAGGCTTGCTTGGACAACGTCAAACAAGCTTCTATTGAATTGAAAACTTTATCGGTGTGTAGCATAGTTTAGATATGGCTATACTGGCTGCTCAAAAAAAACTATAATTATATATTAGTCCATGTTTATACTCATGACGACAACAACATTGGGAAACTAAAATTTTGTTTCGGATCCCTACGATATATGAGAAGGTGGACGGTTCACAACTTTTGGAAAAAGTATGAATCCGCGTTATGGAGTGACCACACTTATCGAGACGGAATCGCATTATTACAGTCATATGTATGTTACATCCATGCAATAAGAGCGAAAAAGACGGTGTGCTTCTCGCGCTGGCGGTCCGAGCGGAAGCGAAATGCGCAACGTCTTTTTCGCTCTTATTGCATGGACATAAAGGTTTCTCTGACCGGTTTAACGCGATTCTGTGTCGATAGGTGTGGTGATTTCCTTAGAGATGTAGCGAATCGTAAACAAGTTTTCACTCACAACCTTCTACGTCCTCAACAAACCTCAACTTTAGAATGGCTGACGTCGAGTTCGGCGTAAATATTATTTTTGGAGATAGACCTAGTCGTAAGCTTCCTACTGATTTTCAATTAAAAAAAAACACATTTGACATTATCTAATGCAAAAATTGTACTCTAAAACATCGATACTATATCGATGCTCTAAAATCATACAGACGCGACGGAACTTTTTGCGTTGCGTTTCGCTACTCTTTAAATTATGCTATCGCGCGTTGCTTTAAATTATAATATTGTTTTTTAAATTTCTATCTAGCACAAATTAATACAACAAAGCAACAATTTTAAACCCTAATCTAACAGTAAGGTTTGTTTAAATTAGTGGTATTTATTAAACAAACAAAATTGTATAGTTTACGAAACTAAACGCGGAAGTGGACACTGAATCCCCCGTGGACTATGATTTTGAGGTAATTTTTTACAAATTTTCAAAAATGTATATCGTAAAACTATTCGTCCTACTAAAACTAAACGTCCTAATTTAAAAAAATCACAGAGGATCCCCTCCCCCATCCACTATTTCGAAGTCCTACCATCTTTAGTGAATGTTTTCACGTCATTTGTAAACATCACCATAACACGAGTTGAAGACCTTTTTGTCACACCCTATATAAGTAGGTACAGTAGATATGGAAAAATATTGCATTACTAGTAACACAGACACAGCTTTGCGAACTGTCGCACACTATCGTAATAGTACACACACTAAAGCATATACTTGTACGATACGTAACTATCACTTTGCTATATCGCAAATAGAAACAGTAGGTATTGTCAATGTTGCTGTTGCAAGGTTCAATAAGCATATGACCTGTTTGTGAATTCCCCGTCTTGTAGCTCGCCTTTGGCTCTGTGTCAGATTGGAAAGGAAAGCAATAATAGCTGCACCGTTATATTGGGTAGTTCATCAACAGCAACTCACACATTATAGGTTATTTTCTCAAATCCAAAATCAACATGAAATCTAGACTCATCACAGATTTGTGTTCACATTTAAAAGACAAAGTAAAGAAAATATATAATTTCCTCACAATATAAACAAAGTAAATTCAAGTCGTAATGACAACTTGTTCTCATTTTACATTATTGTGCATGTTAAAATCTTACCACAATTTTGAGGTATCTAAATAATTTGACGACGAAGCTGAACTATGTGTGTTTATAGAATTTTTATCAAATTTATAAGGTTTATATCGTAAGAAAACCGAACAATTTTTACGACTTTGCCGCACTCCGCGGCGGACGGCACAAAATAATATACACGATCAGTGTTGCCAGGTCAAATCAAAAAAAATCGGAAGATATTGCACGGATAAAACATTGAGGAGAAAACCAGGATGCTGAACTTACGGTGTTTATACTTTGGACCGTTCTTATCGTAAGCGGCATAGAGTTGAATTTAAATCTTAAGTGTCAAGCTTGACGTGCTCTTGACCCTGTACTTTAGTATTATTCTAAGTGTTACACCTCTTTTGCGCAGATAGCTTCTATTATACTGTACTATGGACCAAGAAGTCAAGAGGACTGCTAATTGCGATACAAGACATCGTAGTCAGGTATTTAGTACCTATTAGTACACTAAATGCCGTAACAAGTACCAAATAGCTATTTTTGTAACAATTTTTTACATTGACGAGCTGCATATAGCTAATTTCTAGCGATAACAAATTAATCAACTAGGTGGCGCATATCGCACAGATTTTTATGGATACTGCCGGCTGTACTTTTATTTTGTTTAGGATTAGCGCCATCTGTCCATATTAGCAAGCGTTAATTTATAAATTTGTTTGTAACATACAATGCCATCTATTGAAAGGCATATTTGTCAAAGTTCAGAAAATAATTTTAGCTCCTGGTCAATATTTGAATCATGCTACAAGGAAAAACTAACTTTTTTTATAACATCAAGTGATGATTTTATAACAAGTCGTGCGGCGGATGGTAAGCTACACGCTTATAGTCCATAACAGTTTCAGTGCCGCTCAGAGCTTTAAGTTGCAAAGATCTGAGGGGCACTACCACTGCGCCCGTCACCTTGAGACATAAGTTGACAAGTCCCATGCGCCTGTAATTTCACCAGCACCCTTACCCTTTTAATCCGGAACACAGTAATGCTGAGATTACTGCTTGGCGGCCGAAACAGGCTACTATTTAGGCTAAATAAACTACTTGTATTTCAGGTTAAAGAGAAATTAATTTTTAATAATAAATTAAAAAAAAAAAAATTTATTTCTTAATTGATGTCTACGGCCACTTACGTAATATAAACTACTTCCAGGCTATTGATCAGCGCCACCTAGATAAAACAGATTTTGACCTTTTTCAGAGTTACAATCGGCTAGATACTACAATAGCATTCGTAGCATGGAGATTAGCAGTTCTCATGAGTTATCGGTCCATGAATATAATGACTGAATGATGAAAATTTTCGTGCATCTGACAACCCTACTCGAATGTGTATTGTGTACGTTTCGTTATTGCTACTCTGCATGCTGCATATCTATACAAGGTTAGAATAAAAAAACAAATAAAATTTATGTGTGTTGGTATTTTTGTTGTATTGTATATTATAAATTTTTCATTGTTTCATTGGTCATTACATTTAGAAATAAACTCTTAGACTATTCTTTCTTATATTCTAATTATTTAAACATGGCCATTAATAAACTAACCTCTTTGTGTTCAAGTCTTTCCAGGTTATATTTTGAAGTTTGTAGAAGTCGTATTTCTTGAGAACGATGCTATGAAAGGAAACTTTTGGCACTTGAGCAGAACAAACCCGAGGTCTCGTAAAAATTAGACAACATCGCAATCGCAAACCACAGTAAAAAACTCGAGGGAAAACTATATTGGTATTGGCCATGTTTGTTTTGTATTTTTTGGGGTTCCCCGTAAGAAATAAGAAAAGCCTGCATTTCTATAAATGTGTATTTTTAATTTCAGGTCTAAACATTGTTTAATGCTGAAAAATGATCAAATTGGAATTTTATGACGTTTTTCAGGAACAAGTGGGTAGTTATAAATCTATAAATTGTTTTCTTTATTTTCATTTAAGAAGATATCATTTCCCTTAGCAACATGCCTAACAAATTTATTTTTATTTTTAACTAACTTCAAAAGGAGGAGGTTCTCAATTCAACTGTAATATTTTTTTATATGTATGTTACTTAAGGTAATTGTGAACCGATTTTGACAATTCTTTTTTGTTGGAAAGAGGGTACATATCTTCATGTTAATCCTATTTAAATTTGAAAAAATATTCCACCTCTAAGGCGGGTAAACTAGGGAATGAATTCGGTTTCGCGCACTTTCCGGTAACCGATATCAATAAAACTTGACAAATGTAATTCCGCGAACTTTTGAGGTCGGTTTTTTTTTCATAATAAAAGTAAATAATTAACTAATATTTTTTTACTTATTTAGTGTAGTACAATATTGTCGTTGACTCAAATGCTGTCCACTGGAACCCAAAAAATTAAGAAGATGGAGTATCATTGCTTTTTTTTTAAACTTCAATGACTTTGACACTAGGTAAGATTATAAAAATCTGTTTCGTCTAATTCACTTCACTTGATTTGATAGGTTAAAAATAAAAATTGTGTAAAGCGAAGTGAAGTGAATAATCAAAGTGTTCTAAAATGGTACATTAGTGCCTATTACGTTATTTCATACTGTATAAAACGCATTAAAATCAGACATAATTGACATAAATAATTTGTATCAAATGTGTCTACGCATTTCGTAAAAATGTTGTCGAGGTTCCATCATTATCACGGTTCCAACATTATTTTGTTCGAAGAAAACACTGTTGCGTATAGAAAAGCGAGTTTTGCACATGGTTTGACGTTTAGCGAGAAGCCGCTGTTGCCGGGGGAGATATTTTTAGTGGAAATTGAGAAGACTGAGCGCGGTTGGAGTGGGCACATGCGTCTAGGTTTGACGCTGCTAGATCCGCAAACTGCAGCTTTGGGTGACAAAGGATTACCGCAGTATGCTCTCCCTGATCTGGCTAATACTGGTATGTCCTGGATATTCCCCATTTCAAAATCACAGAACAATGTTTTGATTGAACTTGTGAACCAAGGAGCGAGTGGGCGTCGAGAAACCGAGCCACGCGTTTCCGTACTTGGTGACGGACATACCGTTCGTACTCCGCGAGGTTACATATCTAAGATGCTCTTAAAACCTCAGACATATTCACAAAATGGTACCCCACAAGGGATATTACCTATGGATGCTGGTAGTCGCATAGGTGTTGTATTTGTACCATGCCCAAAAATAAAGAAAGATGAGCCTGACTTAGCAGAAATGCACTTTATTATAAATGGAGAAGATCAGGGTCCTTGTACAAAAGCGATTCCGTTTACTAAAGGGCCATTACATGCTGTTGTTGATGTCTATGGTACAACAAAGCAAGTGAAAATTGTTCAACTTTATGGAGGTAAGTCCTGGTTACATTATATCAGTAAATAAGCACCTTTAAATATTTACCAATTAATTATTATAAATATAAATTGTATATCACCTAGTCTTAATTTTAAAAACTACATATTGTCGCCTTAATTTCTCAAACTCATATTTTAAAGCATAAAGTTACTGAAATGTAAAAAATGCATTATATATACATTTTTGCGGGCTAATTTCACATTACATTTCTTTCATATTCACACACTGGATTTTACCTATACTCAGTTGTGGATTGGCAGTCTTGTCCGCCCTAGACCCCAGGCCATGTAGTCAGTACCAGCCATATACTGAGCGTTTAGAATATTTAGGTACTTTAAGTTATTTCTTATTATTATCAGTGAATTTTTTGTCACGACTGGCTGCCCCTAAAATCTGGCCACCCTAGGCCCGGGCCTACTGTGTCTTAGGGCTGCCACTACCTATTCATAAAGTGATGCATCCAAATTAACACCCTTGCTAAGAAATTTAAAATAAATGCAAATTTTTACTCTGTCCTGAATAATCACCTTTTATAAGATACGTGTTTGAGAAAGTAAGGCATCAAATTATATCATGTTTGATATTGTTTATCAGTTATTTGCAATTTTTTCAGTGAAAACACTACAACATGCATGCCGAGATGCAATACTACAGAGAGTGAACAATCACGGATCTGTCAAATTACTGCCATTGCCAAAATGTTTAAAAGAGTTTTTACTTTCATAGGTTTGAAAATATAATACTTTGAAAGGACAATAAATTGTTGTGGACATCCTGTACAGTTTAAAGGCTTCTATGTATTTTGAAATGGATCATACCCATGACTAGCGTAGTTTGTATCCATATGCTTGTTTAATTTTTAAGTTGATTATTTTCACAATTCTTTATGTACTTGACTTATTATTAAAATTCCATCATTGAAAGGTATTTGTATCATATAAATTAATATATTATCTAAAAGGATCTGTTCTATAGGAAGTGATTGCTTGTGAAATAAGACTCAAGAAAGGAGAAGGAGCTGAAAAGATAAGCTTTATTCCAATACAATATGGAATTGATTAATGAATCTCTACTAAGCACTAATAATAATGTGTCAACATTATACCCAACACAATAATGTAAATTTCACAAAATGTATTCCAAGTGTCATGTACAGTCAATGCCCTAAGATATCTAACCCTCTTAACTGAGTATTTGGTTCTGAGGAGATCAGTGTGAAGACAGATATTAAAAAAAACTTAACTTTTAACATGTGAGCTGTAAAATTAATTTTGGTATTTTATTTATTTATTTATAAAAACACAATGTAAACTTACAGTAACAACCAAAACAATTTCATCCTAATTTCTTATAGTACATACATATTTCATATGCTAAGTTTACCTTATAAACTACTTTAGTAATGCTTTTGAAAAAAATATCAGCATCCTGGACCTTGGGGACTAGACAATTAAGCAACGTGAGACATATTTCGTGGGCGCGTTGTCAGCCCGGCGGCAAGTGTGTCCCCATGCGACACACAATTGGCGCAAACAATTGATATCGGCATCGGCGCCTGCAGACGTTCCTGTTTGGCACAAACAAATCTACGTTGCTCAGTGTTCCGGGATTGTCCACCTTACCTCGCAGAAGAAATACGTAATGGAGTACAAGTTCGAACTTTACGTCTTACTTCCAAGGTGTCAAGACCGACCATTCTGTAGACAAATAAGGAAGGGAAGAGCAGCAGATAGTAACCATACATTATCTTATATAAGTATCGAGCGAATTTGCATTGTGTTTTTTCAATCTGCAGTATTTATCCAATCCTCATAAGGATCCGCGCAGTATTGCAGCCTACTTCTTACAAATGCATTGTAAAGTATAAATGTGCCACACTAGAATCACGAAACTCTGAGGATGCTTGCATGATAAAACCAAAAGTTTTATTGGCCATTTTGCAGATAGTCGTGATGTGGTTATAAAGTTGGGCTTGGGGTCAATTATTACTCCCAGATCGCGAATAGACTGTACTGTGTTACCTATAGAATACTGGTAATTTACAGGGGCGATATCTCGTGTAAGACTTTATTTTGCATTTACTGATGTTAAAAGTTTGTTTTCACACCATACAGATACCAACCAAGTCTTCCTTATTGCATCATTATTAAATAATGTTTTAAAAAACGTTATAAGCCAACTTAATCTTTAATTATATTACATAAATGTAAACTTCAACTAAAAAGCTGGAATTCTTTTACACATATCTGTTACCAAACCAAAAACTTGGTTAGAAATCAAGTATCTTAGAGCATCAACGTACTATTGTTGTTGTATAAATTCTAGGTAATTGTACTGATCCTTGTTTCTTCAATTATTATTTTTGAAATTAAGCTGAACACAGCAATTCGATGTAAAAATAAATGTTTTACTATATGTATTGAGCTAAAAATATATGTTTTTATCTTGAAAGACAACTTGTGCCACAAAAAATAAGTTTTTAAGTGTTGTGAACACATGGGCCCTAGGTATATGATCTGATTATAGGGGTAAGATAAAATAAAGTTGTAAAATTTAAATAGATTATAAATGAGGCTAGAATTGCAGTTAAGTAGAATCTAGCATTTGTTGCAACAACTTTATGACGCCACTGGAATGTCATCATGCAGAGAATTCATTGAAACAGATGTAATGTAAATATGGAGCACACTGTTAATTAAGATGTCACAATTGCGCTACAAAGATTATGATAGTTGTGCTGATAACTTAATAGTTTTGTTACTCTACGAACAAAGGTTTTGAAAGCTCTGCTGAGATGCCTTTATGTGGCTGATGGAAGTTTATCTTTAGATAGTTTCTCTGTGAGCTCATCCTTTATTAGTTTAATTGTATTGTCAAGGTCATTACCTTTACAATACAATTATAAGATTGACTCACATTGGTTCTTGTGTGGGGTGATATGTGTGATCTAATTTAATTTGTCATTGCTAGATTTGGAATAACAACCAGCAGTCGTTGTATCCCACATGCGGTCAATTAAAGTATGTCTTACATACACCGGACCGAGTTCGGCTGAGCCCAGAGTACAGTCGGTGCCCTCACTTAAGTATCCACTATTTGTACTAAGTGCTATACAAATAGTGGATAGATAAGTGAGAGCACCGACTGTACTACACTGCTATATAGTGTCACATATCGCACTGCTATTTCAATAGTGTCGGTAACTCAAAATATGTGAAATTCAAGATTATACTATTGCTCAATGTAAAATTATCTACACGTCAATAAAACCGTCGTTTGAATATTGCAAGAAACAAAAGATATCTACTTATCTCCAAAATGAGACAAACTTTGTGACCTAGTTTTGGACTAAACAGTCCTTACTCAAAAATATGAAAACATTTCTTCCCTTTTATTTTTAAATAAATTTGGCAAGCAGGAAATCGTTTAGATGTCTTTAATAAACTTTAACCTATACATAAATTTTAACAATCTTTCGCGGAAAGTGTGTAATTCGTTTTTTATTGATTCTGAAAAATACATTTTTGAGTTAATACACTATTGTATTACCAGTGCGATTTATTCCGTTATCTACTGCAGCTTGTGTTTGTATTCAAAAGTGTACATGATATGTAAATGTATGTAATAGTGATATATATGTAATAGTTATTTGAGCTGTGTACAACACTTTGCTCAAGCCTGGTACTGTATAGTGTAGTCTTTGCACATCTATAAGAAAGCATAAATCAGTAATGAAGATCAAATCACCAGCAGCTATTATGAATTCAATCAATTGAAGACATAGGACTTACGAATAGTTTAAATGCATTTTAAAGTGGAGACGTAGTGTAGATAGTCTAAATATATTTTATGTATTCTTTAATTACAATTAATGAAAATGATGTTTCTGTCTGGTCACACACTGGAAAAAGTTATTTGTGTAAATTCTACAACATGCATGGAACTTCATTTGTTTTATTTTTAAGATCATATTGCATTATTGTAGAATTTTTACAGATTCTAAAATAGACCATACTGCGTACGCTGAACGACTTCAATGTGATGCAGTGAGGTTGTTATGGCGCAGTGACATTGTGTGACCTATTTTTTTTTTTACTTTCGTACGCTACGACACTATTACCATAGTATAATAAAACACGTATGGTAACTCCATACAAACGTACAGGACGCTTGTATGCGTGCGCGCCGTGTACGGACACTCAAATTCGCATAAACTAGTTAAAAATAGTTTTCCACCGGCGACGTGTGAATAGACGAGAATTGAAATCTTTAATAGCCCGTGCGAGCTCGCGCTGTGATTGTGTATAGTGAAGATTCAGGGCTATTCACTTCATGTAACGATAAAAACGCGGCTGAATTAACATGTCCCGTAAATTATTATTATATACTTATGTTAACTGTAGCTCTATGTAGGCAGCAATACGGTTCAATATTATATTATCAACAAACATTTCAATTCTGGCCTCGCCCATCTTCCTCAATCCAGACCCTTTCCACCGAAGATGCGCGAGGAGAGAATTAATGAATGAAATTTTGCCATACAAATTTTATTCTCGTTTCGCCTTGTCTGTGAAAAACCACCTTGATACTAGTCGTCCCAACGCGCCTTTCATTATTATGCGATTGTGTGCGGCCGTTAACGGCGCGCGGCGCGGTTGCGCACACGTACAAGCTGCGCAGTTACTTTATACGGAGTACCATACTTCTCTTATTTTACTATGCCATTACTTTATAATCTTAAAGAGAAATGAGAGCAAAATTGTAATCTCCTAATATAAAGAACAAAGGACTTTTAATTTCTACCAAAAATTTGTAATTGAATGTCGATGTCCTATTAGAAAATGTATATTTTGAACTTTTGTACATAATTATATTTTCATTCCAATGTCGTATGCGATGTGTATAAATTGTTAGATGTTGCGAATTGTTTTAAAAATCGAAATGGGTTAGTTGTTTGGAGTAACTTACACAGGAGAGTTCTCAATGTGAATATACAGGTTATAAGAAAAGTACGAGACGTAATATTAAGCGTGAACTTCTTAATATAAGTTGTACCAAATTCATGCAAGTGAAAAAGGAGTCAAATTTAAAACAACGAATAAGGGCGTGGTCGGTTTCGTCAATAAAACAGTTCAATTCTAAGTGAATACTTGGTAATATTTGTGCTCCTTGTGAAAATTTGTCCAGGAAAGTACTGACTCGTTACCTATTTCTGCTGCCAAGCAGTAATGTGAGTATTATTGCGTTCCGGTTTGGAAGAATAAGGGTGCCGGTGAAATTACAGGCACAGGGGACTTGTCAACTTATGTCTCAGGGTGATGGACACAGTGGCAGTGTCCCTAAGCTCTTTGCGATTAAAAGCTCTAAGTGGCAACTGATTATGAATAGGCGTGTCAATTACCACCAGGCGTTCGCCACTTGTTCGTCCCGTCACTTGGTAAAGTAAAAAAAAAACTAACTTCATTTACCTATCTGCCTAAAACCTGCGTATACTTTAGCACCCATCTCAATTCTTTTATCGATGAAACTTGTTGATCCTGATTTCACTTTGATTTATTTTAATAAAGGCCCAAACACCCTGTATGCGTTACCGCCGTGTAGGTAATATGTGTACGATGTATGAACTTTTGAGTGGCGTTACACATTTAAGGGAGTCCCTCGCTTATAAACTCGAAATCGGTCCGAGTCGGTCAGGAAAGGCTTTATGTCCATCCAATAAGACGTTGCGCCTTTTGCTACCGTTAGGGTCACATTGGTGACTCTTTTATATGTAAAGCAATGACGAAGGGTTCGTATTTAGTATTTTAGTTAGTTTAGTATTTTTTTCGTTTATTTTAAATTTGGCTATGTGCTGGACGTTATTTTAAAATAGCTTTGTTGTTGATCTTCAGGAGTATATTAATGTTGAAGTCTACTTCTGAACAATAGTTTCCTTGGATTTAGATAAAAAGTCTGTATAATTAGAATTATGAATAAAATAAATTTAATATTTATTTTATTTAACAGAAAAATTTAGTATTTGCTGTGCACATCTAATATTGGCTTACTTTTCTCAAGTACACTCCACACTTTACCACTAAAGTACAGTATATATTCTAGAATAGAAATAAAAACCGAGTCCTTTTTAAGTTTAGTGAATGTCACGACGTTTTGGTTTGACCACCATTATATTCAATTATTTTTGTGAAATTACTCCACTAGTCTGTAATGATAATTAATACAAAGATCGAACACTAAGAAAAAATCCTTCGAATCGACAGGACTCGAACCTACGTCTTCCAGCAGACTGTGGCAGACGCTATGCCGACTAAGTAACGGAACGACTAGCGGACCTTACGAATTTTTCTATGTGCTTGTTGCAGATCTTTGTTTTTAGTTTTTAACGACTTTTTTGTCATAGCGCCATCTGTGAGAAATCTATTTCTTCACTCGGCTAGGTACGTTTACAGCTACCAGCTTAATTGGCATAGCGACTGGCACGGTTTGCTGGAAGACGTTAGTTCGAACTCAGCCGGATCGAAGGATTTTTTCGGAGTGTTTTATCTTTGTATCAATAATTACGACCTCTTTTTAATTTTCTAAAAGCTTTTCGGACTTTTCTTTCTTCTGTATAATTCATATCACGTCTCTACGTAAATTACGTCAAAGGGTTTGCAGACGAATAATAATTAATATAGCATTGGGTTTTGATTAACAGTATGAAGTTATACATTGTGTACAGAGTATGACAAAAGCTGCTGACTGTATGTATATAATTAAATAATTTAAAAAAATTCCTCTAGCAAAGTAAGCGCGGTTTATCGAACATTGTTTATTATCACTTTCCTTACAATACTAGAGGACGCAGTTTGCAATTTTGATGAAAATTAAATATTCAGGTACACGATCAAAAGGATGAATTAAATTCAACTTTATGTCGCATGCTATAAGAAAGGTCCAAAGTGTCAAGCTTGTTAAGTCAACAGCACATCAAGCTCTACAATTATTTCGACTATTGCCTCCAGTGCAACGGAACAAGTGATGTGCCCTGTGTACCTCCTAAGGCTTTCAATCTCGCTGAATTTCCGTGTCCCGGGGAAAAATATGGAGACTCAGTGCGGTCTCGAAAATCGTGTGCCTTATTCCAGCGTGACCATGGTCGAGTTTTTAAAATTTGAGTAGCCAGAAAAAAGCCGCTATTTAATCGGTTCTAGTCGCAAAAAACTAGATTTAGTCGGCCCGCCGTTCAAAAGTTATAAGGGTGTTTTACTGTCCACGCTGGAATATGCTTATTCCAGCAGCACCATTTCTCAATCTTGAGAACCACAACGCCTAGCTTAGATCTGATTACACTAAAAAAACTCGTGATTTAGTCGGTTCTAGTCGTAAAAAATTAGATTTAGTCATTACGCCGTTTTGAAGTTATTGAAGTGTTTTACTGTCCACGCTGAAACTAAGCTTATTCCGGCGGCACCATTTTTAATCTCGAGAGCCTCGGCTCCTAGCTTAGATCTGATTGCACATAGAAAAAGGCGTGAATTAGTCGGTTCTAGTTGCGAAATTTTAGAACTAGTCGCTCCTTTGTTTAGGAAATACAACCGATTTATTATTTTAAGGCACACTCGAAAATCCCGGCAAAAACGAGACTCGAGACTACTTTAAAAATAGGGTTTCATACTTATAGGCTAGGCATTTAGGCAGTTAAAATACGATATCTTAATTAAGTCCTTTATTAACTCAAATTAATTTTTATAGTTGTTACGTAAGAAGCAAAGTTGACTGATTTTATTACAACCGTTCTTCAAACTCCATGCAATAAATTAAGCTCCTTTCCAGATTATTGCCACATCCATGTAACCACAATAAAAAAAAAATACTGTGTATCTAGTACATTTTTAATACTTCTTAATTACGTGGCTTTAATCTCAAAAGTCTATATACATATTTCCGAGACTGAAAACCTCAGTTTCGAAAATGCCAAAAAATTGTCGGAAATTTTCGAGACCGAAATTCCGGGAATGAAAGCCCTAGCATCTACATAAAGACGGTACGGTATGTAGGTACTTGCCGCCACAAGGATTTTAACTGTTCGACGTCTCAATTAGCAGCCTTTGTCCCACTAAGCTAATATCGCTCTCCAATAAAAAAAATTAAAAATATATATGTTCAATTTTATTGTACGATATTATCGTCCACTGAAAAGCAGACAACAGTGGATGATCGCTTTATAATGTTCGGTATGTATGTTAGGTATGTAATTATCGACTGTACGCTTTCTAACGTTATTATTTGTACAATTTACGTTTTAGTATTTTGGAAATATGCATCAAATGTGTAATTTAATCGTTATTTTATTACGTAAGCAACACTCTAAAGTACACTGTAATGCAAAATTCAGCAAGTCAAGAATGACTAAAAAAAGGAAGATGCTAAAGTGAAAGCAAGTGCCTGAATTGTCAAGGACGGGTTCGCACTTGTCTCACGCTCAGATCCTCGTCGTTGATAATAAAATATGCATGGCTGCATCTGTGAAATTTGATCCGTAGCACGAAGATGTCTATAGAAGGGGGTCAAGTTTCTCTGCAAGTGTTTATATGGACAACGGCACGTCCCCGTTTACAATAACGTGAAATTCGACGTCAAAATGTTACGTACAACGCATTGTCGTGTACTTTAGCATGTGTTCTTTATTGCGATATTTTGATTGTGTTTTAAAGTGATGTCGTCTGCAAAACCTGGGGGATGAGGAAGATAACAAAATTTTATTTTATTGAATAAAATTATTTTGCCTATTACTTATGATAATTTCATTAAAACATTTGGTGATTATAAAAAAAGTTTGACTTTATTAATTAGTTAGAGAAAAACAAGACATCAACGTAAATGCGAATTCTTCTTCAAAATTAAACTACAATCCCATTGCACATATTCCAATCTTCAATAAGTTAAATTATTACCAAAATGGAATGAAAATGCCAGTTCCGTTTTCATGTAATTTTTTTGCATGAACATATTCACACGTAACATAATTGTAGGTACTTGGTGTATGTTGATTTGATGCGATTGAATTGGGAAATAATAAAAGTTCCGAAAAACGACTGTACCTAATTGCAGCGAACAGAAGCTAACTGCATTACTAACTTAGCTGCGTTAAAATAAGTTACTGTAAAATAAACAGAATATACCGACAAAAATAGTAATACTTAGCAAACAATCAAAACCTGTTCAAATTACAATTCTACGAAAAAAACGGTGAAACAAAAAAAACTTCCGAATAATATACACTAAACTTCCGAATAAATACTAACTTACCGATGTACCTATGTCCTATTTATCACTCGTAATGTGATGTTTATGAAATGTATAATAAGGCTATCGCTTTTAATTTACAATATAGCCCTTTTTGATGTACAATAAAAAGGGCTACTCCGTAAAACAAAGTTGGTAGAGCAATATTACGTCAGCAAGATTTTTCGGAACGTTCAGTTCATTTTAATCGGTTGTTTCCTTATTTTTATATGCACAAAAGTTTTCGGTGGCTTAGTAAATAACGCAGTAATATTCATATTTTGAATAAGTATGTTTTTAATTTACTTTTCGGAGCTTTTCTTACTAGCCGATTTAATTTTATGCCTCTACAATCGTTTGCATGAATATTATATTAATTAAAAAGGCAATGAAGCCCGACAATCAACTTTTAAGAGCAAAATTAAAAAATTAAAATATTAAAATAGGTAATAATATCAGCATCAATAATTGCATTTTTAAATGTGCCCTAATGAAATTTTTACCACATCAGAGCATTAGCAGTAAGGTTATGAATGATATATCCATGCAAAATGTTTTCAGTGTAATGTTGGACAGTGTCATTCCGTGATATAAAATAATAAGTAATAATCTTTCCTTGTACCCATTGGTTATCCAAAATCTTTTGGTAATGGCAACGTGTAAGGTACAATTTGAGTTTTGAGCGGGTCAAAGTCCGTGTAATCCAGCAAATTATCAGTTTCAATGTGATTTGTCCAGAAATCTACCAAATTGTTACTCAGAACACCCTGCCAATGCTGAAATCAAAATAAGCATTATAAGTGTCATCACCAGCTCCTAGATAATTGTCTGATCATTTCCAAAAATACGAAAACCTTGTCATTTTATACCTCAACCTTAGCAACTGATGATGCGAGCAAAATTCAGAGACGCCAAAAACAAAGCAGGCAAAAACATGTCAATAAATAATACTACACTTGTTACCTCCTATGGAACGCGCTATGGTCGGGAACTATTTGACATAGCTGATAGAATAATCAATCTGAAGTGGTAGTGGGCTGGCCATATCTGTCGAAGAACCGATAACCGATGGAGGAAACAAGTTCTTGAGTAAAGAATACGACTCAGCAAACGTAGGACGCCAGATGGAATGACGATCTGCGAAAAGCTGCTGGCGGCAGATGGATGTGACAAGCTGAAGACCGGGCGAAAAGACGCACATTGGGAGAAGCCTACGTCCAACAGTGGACTGCGATAGGCTGATGATGATGATGTTGCCCCCACGTTCACCTTATAAAAGAAACCCACGATTTATTATAACCACGACTGTGGTGTGTCCTACTTGAAGAGATGTTCACAATATCGAATTTTATCTCTAAACGATCTCGGAGGTCGAATCAGACTCTTTTAATAATAATAATTGTTTATTTTAGGCAAAAATCCCTTTTTACTTATACAGTGTGATATAAATTCAACAATAATGATAATAAACTGGAATAAAATATAAAAAACTAAAAGAAAATAAAGTCATAAGATGCGACCTGCATAGGTCTTCGTTTTAGGTATCTATTTCCTGTATGCGTCGATATGGATGAAACGTCAGTGCCTACCTAAAAATAAAAATTGGGCCAGACGTATTGGCGGAAATAGGTCTCAGTATGCCGTTATCAGAACAACGCAGTCTATCCCAAAAGGAAGCAATACGAGCACTGATGACAGCAAAGAAATCAGGCAATCCCTCCTCGGTGAACTTCTTGCACATCTAAATATAAGCATTGTTAGCGCCCAGTTACACGAGGAGAAAGTTTTCGCACTGCGACCGCTCAGTTACCACACCTCCACGTACATTAATGACGAATCTGAATTCTATTTACTAGGCAACAACATTTAAGGAATTTAAAAGAAATCTACGCGCGATCGTCGCGCGGGCCGCCACGGGCTCCGCTCGGTGACCACGCGGTCGTCGCGCGGGCCGCACAGATTAAATTCAAACCAGTCTCGGCCGCGTGCCCGGAACGCTCATTTAAGTTAACATGTAAAAGTTAAACAAATAGAGCGTATTACGTATTACAGTTAGACTCACGCGGTCGCTGCGCGGCGGCAACGCGGACTCCGCTCTTCGACCGCGCGGGGTGAGCGCGATGAAATTCGTATCGAATAAATGCGCCCTTATATTTATTTATATCAACAAAATGGTTGAAAGTTCATGCTTTTAACATAAACCGCAATTTGTTAGTTTAACAAATGCATTAATAAAGCGAAGCTGGCCTCATGATCATCATCTTCGATAGAAGATGGTACCGTGACAAGGGAATTCAAATTGCAATTTAACTATACAGAGAGACGCAGTTCACCTCCTGGATATCTCCAGTTACGACACATCTCTTGAATTCGTGAACCACCCAGCACATAAGAGTATATGTACAGTAACCACCTCTACATTTTATTCAATGATCCTTTCTCGGTGTCTCGGTCACTCATTGAATTAACCTCACCGACTCACCTCTAAAATGAGTTCATTTAAATTTATGGCTATCGCCTACATAGCACTGATCCATATTTGGGTTTAAAATTTACTTGGGCACCATTAACAAGTCTGCGGGATTTAGGATTTTTTTTATAATAGCGCACACAGTCAACATAGACCCGCACTACGGAAACCCTGTGTCGCGGGAGGCATGGACACACACATAGACAACCACAAATTACACCCATAATAGAATAAGTAGTCTTCCACATAGGTCTTTGTTCTACGGATGAGTCGATTACTGCCGCCAACCAGTAATGTGAGCGTTACTGCGTTCCTGTTTTGAAGAGTACGAGTGGTGGTGAAACTACTGGCACATGGGACTTGTTCAGGGGTTTAAACCTCGAAGTGGCACTGCAACTGTTATGGATACGCGTGTCGCTTACAATTACCACCAGGCTTACACAAAAAAAAAACTGTATTCATACTTTACGAATATGTTTGATCCAAATTAATATAACGTTATGTCCGTTTTGTTTTGCAAGATCATAGGCTTTGTTCAGTTTCTTTTTTGCCTTGCTATTTCGTCCTCGAATACATTCATAGTATGCACGTAAGAGATAATACCTGGAAAAGTAATACAGTATCTAGGTTGCTTTATGGGCAATAAGAATAATTAAAAGCGTTTCTGCAGAGGTCGATGTATTTGCATGCTCATTATCGGAATTCGAGAAGGTGACTTTACGCATTCTTTCTGTTACTTCATACCACTGTTAAATTGGGAAACCCCTGTAATTAGTGAAAATCACTGCACTTCGTACTGTTCGCACTCGTAAAATACTAAGTATTTCATAAGGGCCTTTTACTTTTTTTTAATAGCATGACGTATTCAATTATTGAATGAAAAAGAAGTAACACGAAAACGAAGCGAAAACGGATTAAAAACAAGATATTTACTTAATTAATAACTTTTGTAACAATTTACTCGTATTAGTAAAATATGGTTTACATTAATATTACATGTAACTGAGTCCTGATTTCGATTCAATGCGGAATCGATCCGATCGGGTAGTCTCGAATTCAGATGGGTTTCTGAGCGAGAAGATGAACCTGATTCCTACTATATCTTTCTAATTTGTGAGTTAAATCAACTACTGTTCCGATTAAAAATGTCAAATGTTTCTGATCGGCCAGTTGTGAATCGCGATTATGCGCCTCGACTCGGAAAAGATGCAGTTTCCGATTGGGAGAGGCAATCAAAATCAAGCTGTCTTCTTCCATCTTCTTCTTCCACACAGTCAGCCGTCCCCATGTGAATGCCCGAACTGTGGGTATGTTTCAAAAAAACAAATATATACGCGCGATTTAGATCCGAAAAAAAATAGTTTCATATCCTAGACAAACAAGTATCATTAATTTTACAACCAAACAGTAGGTAACATAATATGTATGTCGTAATGCATGCGTTATTTTACTTTAGTTAAGGCGTTGACAACTTTTACTACAGGAAAACTATACATTTACTTAATAAGTAAAGGAAATTTAATTAAATTCAATCTAAATTACCTACCGAGGCTTATATAGAGATGACTGCCGAGTCGGTTTTTTTATTTGTCGGAACATCGTCTCCACGGCATTAATTATTATTATAGTCTGTTTCATGTTTCCATGGTCGATCTGTAATTCGTAAATAAACGATAATTCGGTGTTACAGATATGGGAACTATATTACATAATATATTTTTATTACTCTATTATATTATTATTAAAATAAAAAAAACTCAATGACAATCACTGGCTAACGACCTTTGATAGGGATGTCACATCACCGAAACTTTACAGCCGCATTGGAGGATATGTTTAAGACGCTGAACTGGATAAGAATGGGCATGGACATAAACGGCGAATATATCCCACACTTACGACATAGTCCTAACGATGGAGTTGCTGGAGAAGTTGCAACAGATCCTGGACAGCCTAGCATCCGCCTCACAACGGATTGGTCTCGGCATGAACATGTATAAAACCAAAGCCATGATCAATGATCGCATTGTTCAGAAACCCAACGCTGAGGTTATTTCCGAATACACTTACTTACTTTAGGCAAATTCTGCGATTAGGCAGAAACAACTTGAATGAGAAGAAAGCCAAAAGAAGGATTCAGCTTGGCTTGCCAGCGTTTGAAAAACTACGCCGGGTCTTCTTTCCATTTCACAAAGTTTGATAACCAAGGTTTTGCATCAGTGCGTTCTACACGTTATGACATACGGAGCCGAGATGTGAACACTCACGATTAGGCGAGACCATCTGATAAAAGTCACTCAACGAGTTATGGTTGGAACTTCTCTGAAGGATAAGATTCGAAATTAGGTTATCCTACAGAGAACCAAAGTCGTCAATATAGCTGGTAGAATAAGCTAAAGTGGCAGTGGGCAGGCTATATCTACGGAAGAACTGATAACTGATGCGGGAAACGAGTTCTTGAGTGGACTTCACGGCTCGGCAAACGTAGTGTAGTACCCACACCCTCTGGCCAGATAGAGTGACGATCTGCGAAAGGCTGTTGGCAGCAGATGGATGCGACAAGTGACCGGGCGATATAGCGCACATTGGGAGGGACCTATGTCCAGCAGTAGAATGCGATAGACTGGATGAGTGGGTAGACACCTATTGTCAGCAACTTACCTCTCTCACCAAGGTAATAAGGAACCCCTCAATTAATCTAGTAAGTAACATGGTACTGAACTCATGTGGTTCCTTTGTGTATATTGTGTACAGCTGCCTTATTTTTTCTTCCCATAAAATGGATCTTTCCCATGCTCCTAGTCTCACTGTGCTGTAAGTACAGAGATAAAATAGCGGCATAAGTATGAAATTAGTTTATATAATTAATTGCAAGCGATGGCGGAAACCAACCCGTATACAACTACTACGGAATTGGCAGCATAGTTTGACGTTAGCAAATAAACTGTACTTTAGGAAGGTATAATGCTACCTGTATTATACCTTCCTAATGCATTTATGGGAAAGATATGTAAGTACTTAATATGGGATGTTTATTGGGAGAAGGCTGATGTATATAGAGACTATAGCAGCTGACTTAAATTGATTTCTCGGAACTTTAACCAGGGGCTATAGTCGATTGTAGATATGAGCGCTGCACCAATGCTGCCGACGAACTTTGCCGGCGTAAAATCGACGCACCGAGCATTCGAAGTATCAGCTTCTTTGTTAATTGTTTACTATATATAAATACAGTATTTTAGTACAATAAAATAAAATACGGAATTTGGTAACGAAAAGTGGAATTTGATAAATTCCAAACACACAAAGAAAACTGTGTTTAGTATGACGCTTCCAAGTCTACATTCAAATTATTAATATATGAAATTATTACATATCTACTGTGTAGGTATGAAATAATTACACAACAAATCTTACACCAGCCAGATGCAGACGAAGTAGTTCCACGCCGCTTCAGGAGTCTTGGATCTGAAGATTGCGTCGCCGTTTCTAATGTAGAACTTTTCGCAAGAGGCGTACGATTCTACGCAGTGACCAGTGTCCAGGAGAATCACAATTGCGTAGTAGTAGTACCAGGTCTCGGCTAGGATGGCAAAGTTTCGTTTTTTAGTCAACAACATTGTGGCTCCTACAGAACTGTAGATTCAAGTTTCACGTGTTAAAGTAAATAATGCATAATAGTGAAATTTTAAAAAGCGTCAATGTATAATCGAGTATTTAGGTAAATATTTAGTTGCGGTCCACTCAATGGTGAACATATTATACAGGTAATTAAAGTGTTACAAAATGTACTTACAGCTCAAATTATAATGGTCAGTCGTGAAGAAAATTTCCCTCATAATCACAACCATCTCATAGATCCGAAGATCAGATAGGAGCATCTTAAGTAGATCTGACGCCAGCATTTGAGTAGTGGCCAGGTCCGCTTTATTGGTCACCAACGGAATGACTGTTAGACCAAACTCTAGACCCTCCAGGTTTTTGTCGTTTCCCACACTGCAATTGTAGGAGTAATTACTTAATAAGGAAATTATGAGAAAGAGAGCGGCATCCTTGATACGCAGAGTGGCAGGGTCCAGATTTCATTCCTTGAACACTGGATCAAACTTCATTGTGTAGGTTCAAAGTCAGTTCACCTTAAACCCAGTGCTTTTTTTAACCGACTTCAAAGAAAGGAGGAGGTTCTCAATTCGACTGTATGTATTTTTTTTATATACAGGGTGTCCCGGGACGCGACGTCAAGCCGGAACGGGGTGATAGGACAGGTCATAACTGTTATCAGAAAAACTACACTTTTTGGCACTCCTGTAGTTGCTTCAATTCCACGTACCGAAGAACTCGGGTTTTCTTCCACTGCTTCCATTACGACGTCCTCGTAATGATGGAAACTTCTACTTTCACTATGCGCTTCGCTTGGGAATCGTCCCTCTGAGAGCAAACGGTGCACATTCGTAAAAACTCGATGATCGGGATGACGAGCAGCATTTGGGTACCTCTCACGATAAAGTCTAGCTGCAGCACTAGCATTGCATCTGCATTCCCCATAAATGAGGTGCATGTTGGCATATTCCTGTACGGTGTACACGGACATGGTGTCACAACACAATCACAGTGGTCCAGAGGAAAGCAAAGGTCGTAAAAAAGAGAAACTAAACAGTCCAAATCCAAATCAAAAGCAATCGGGGTCCAATAAACGAAGCAAAAGGTTGTTAGTACGAAATCAAGACGAACGAATACGGAAAGGTGCGCAGTAAACGAAGTAGCGTAACGTACTGTCGTTATTGTGAATTGTGCTCGCACTAGTCGAATAATATCTATCCGTCTCACACATTAGCGGCGTCACTCTCTATCTCACTCACACTTCGTAG